ATTTTATTAATTATTATTAATTATTAATTATTTTTAACCATAAATAGAGTTACTCCAGTTTTTTTATAGCACCTGCTTCTTCCAAGTGCTGCATTACCCCTTTTTAATAAAAATATCTACAGTATATATTTATACTATATGTAAATGTGGGAATAAGGGGATTTTGAGATTTTCCATATCGCCTTTAACAAAATTTGGATTATCCTAAAATAATGTTAATCATAGCTAATTATAAAATTACATTTTATTAGTTAATTGGATATAATTTGTAAATTTTTTTTAAATAAATGCAAGTAGATAATTATGAATTTCAAAATTTTAAGTTTTATTTTTTTTAAATTATTTTTTAATAAATATATATGATAATGAGACGTTTAAACATTTTTATATTTTATTTTTTAAATATTTTTATTTGATTTTGATTATAATTTAAAATATTTTATTTAGAAGAGAGATAAAAAGAGAAAATAGTATATTTTTTTCTTTATGTTAATATAATTTAATTGAATATATTTTTACAAAATAAAATTTTCAAATAAAATATACATAATATTTTATTTATGAAAGACATAAAAATGAAATTTCAGTATTCTTTTCAAGAAAACGTCATAGAAATGGCTCTCATTGTGGTGTTGTACAGAGAGATATATATCAGGAAAAACATATATAAAGAAAGAGTGCATGGTGATTGAGATTGCTTAGAGCATCTCTAATGCAACCATGGATTGTATTTAATGTGTTTTAATAAATAGAAGTTGTGGATTGTGATGTTGCTGAATGTGTATTTTCAGATGTTAGATTTTTAAAATGGTTCTCCAATGCACAAAAAAGAAATCAGTTTCAATGCAAGAAGAAGTTTAAGCAAATAAAAAATGCATAAAGAAAAATAAAAAAATGAATAAATAGAAAAAAAATAAAATAAAAAGCCAAGTCACATTGTCCAACACACCCTCTGAAAGTAGAGAGCGTGATAGACAATGTGTTTTTTTTTTTTTTGACACATTAAATTCACAGACTAAATAAATAATAACGTTAGGAGAAAATTTTTATTTTTAACTTTTAATTTTCAAACATGGCAAATAAATTGACACAATCAATTTTGCCTAATTTGGAGGAGCTTAATTGGTTTTATGTGTCAATTCTTGGTCCATTCTCTTGCCCAATTGTTTGCCTAATTTGGGTTGTCACCTGGCTATTAAGCGAGATAAAGCCACATGTCAAGTTGTACATGTGTTAAGTTGTGGAATTTAGATAATCTTTCTTTTTTTTTTCTTCAAAAAGAAATGTTTTTAGATATATATTTTTTTTTTCTTTTATGCAATCTTTTTTTTATTAATTAATATATAGACAATTAAGAATTTTTAATTTTTAATTTTTTTAAAATTTATTTGTTAAGATATATATAGATGACACATTTGAATATTTTTATATTTTATTTTTAATATTTAATTTTATTTTGATAATAATTTAAACTATTTTATTTAGGAGAGAGATAAAAAAAAAGTATATTTTTTGTATGGTTGTAAAAAAATTGAGAGTTTATTTGAATACAATGATCATTTCTGTTATGTCATTTTTTTATTAGCTAATTAATTTATTTATTTATTTTAAATTCACAACTTAGAACAATAGAGAAACTAAATACTTAAATAAATTTATTAACTGTCTAATATTTAGTCGTAGCATGATTTGCTTTGAAATTTTCATTTATTCAGTTGATTTTAAATTCTTTTTTTATCCATCAACATTAAATTTCATTAAATTATGGCTTTTCTAATTGAAGAATGAGTTATTTTTAAAATTCAAATTAATATTTTTTAATATAATTTGTTTTTATTATATGTTGATGCTTGAGTTTTGAAAAGAGTTTTATCATTAATAATAATTTTTTTATTTTTTATTTTTTATTTGTTTTTCATTACTGAATTAATTTTTAACTACTATCATTTTAATTTAATTAGAGATTTATATGGCCTTTTGATGGTTAAGTATTTTTACTTTTTTTTAATATGTTTTCTTCTATATTCTAAATTTGTTTGATTTGAAAGAAAATAATATTTATGAAACTAGAAAAAAAAACTAGAACTATATATATCTGTTTTGAGTCACTTATTAGTATTTTAAGAATTTATGTATATATGCATATATGCATTTCTCTAATGCATTGGATAAGTAATACTACCACTATAGTCCAAGTGATTACCATTATCAGTTCAGATAATCTTTTCATTTTTTTTACCTAGCAATAAAAAATAATTTATTATTAGTTTTTATGATATTTATATATAGATATTGATTTGGGTTGAGAAGAGGATTAAAGATTGAGTGATGACTTGATTTTCTTTTTTGGGCACCTATTAGGGTTTCAAGAACCCATATTTATAAATTAGGGACCAAAAGATTTGGTATATGGATAGAGTTAAAGTTTATATAAAAATAAATTGAGTACATATGAAGTAGCATTACAAATAGTTTCTAGGATAAAATATACTATAGATTAACCAATTGTATTTCTTTTAATCTAATAAAAATTTATACTTCAATATTATATAGATAAAATAATTAAAAGAACGTAAAAATGAGTATATAACGAGCATAATCAACATGCAATGCAAGTCATAAAAAATAATAGTGCTATATAAATCTTGGAATAGGAGGGGCGATAACAATATTTCTGATAGTGTCCTTAATGAAATTTAGAATATGCTAAAATAATCTTAATCATAGCCAATTAACATTTTATTACTTGATTGGATATATTTATAAAAATTATTTAAGAACCCATATTTATAAATTAGGACCAAAAGATTTGGTAATATGGATAGAGTTTAAAGTTTATATAAAAATAAATTGAGTACATTATGGAAGTTAGCATTACAAAATAAGTTATCCTTAGGGATAAAAATTAACGATAGATTAACCAGATTGCGATTTCTTTTAATCTAATAAAAATTTATATACTTCAATATTATATAGTATAAAATAATTAAAAGAATCGTGAAAGAGATGAGGTATATTGAACGAGCATACATCAACATGTGCAATGCAAGTCATAAAAAATTAAAATAGTTGCTATTATTAATATATCTTTGGAATAGTCGTAGGGCGATAACAATAATTTCTGATTTGTAGGTTGTCCTTAATGAAATTTTCAGCGAATAATGCTAAAATAATTCTTAATCTAGCCAATTAACGATTTTGTACTACTTGATTGGAACTTTTTTATATATATAAAAAATTATTTGTTAAAATTATAAGCACTTAATAAATATATATAGATAATTAAGTATTTTAAAATTTTAAGTTTTACTCCCTCTGTCTCATTTTGTTTGCTTGTTATTCTTTTTTTGGATGTCCCAAAATGTTTGCAAGGTCTTTAAATTTGAAGATGTAAACAATTATTTTTTTCATAATAACTTTTAGAATATCTTCATGAGTTATTAAGAGTAAAGAATGACAAAATAACTTTTGTTGATTAAATTCTTAATATGCGTGTTTTATCAAACTATGCAAACAAAATGGGACGGAAAGAATATTTTTTAAAATTTATTTTTAATAAATATATATGACAAGAAGATATTTGAAAATTTTTATATTTTATTTATATTTTTATTCATTTCATTATAATTAAAATATTTTATTTTGGGGAGAGAAGTAATAAAAAAGAAAAATATATTATTTTTGATTAATATTTTTTTCTTTATAATTATATATTGATTGGATATATTTTTCAAAAAAATTAAATTTTTCAAATAGGAATATACATAATATTTTATAAAAAAAATAATATTTTTTTATATTTGTATAATTTGATTAGGTATATTTTTTAACAAAAGAAATTGAAAGAGAATAAACATAACTAAATCTTTTAAAATTTTTACTTTTCAAAATTTATTTTAAATAAAATGAACATATGTGTAGGATTGACGAAGAGTTTAAAATTTTAATTTTAGAAATATATATAATATTTTATCGATATATTTATATATTTATGTATATTGAAACTTTTTTGATAGGTGAACTATGAAAAAAGTTTTATTCTTAATAATAATTTTTTATTTTTCTTTTTTATTTTTGTTTTTGTTATTGAACAATTTGTAACGATTATCATTTTAATTTAGTAAGAGATTTATATCTCCCTTGCAATAAATAAGTGGCCTCTTGATGATTAAGCATTTTTAATTTTCTTCATATTTTTTTGTTTTATATCCTAAATCTATCTGACTTAAAAGAAAATATTGTTTAGGAAACTAAAAAAACTACAACTATATGTTAAGTAATAGTACTATTGTAGCCAAAATAATACATTGTCAAGTAATAGTATTACTGTAGCCAAAATAATTACCATTATCAATTCAATTTAAGACTAATTCATTATATAAAAATGAAATTATGCACATAATAAGTAGCATTACAAATAGTTTTTATTTTAATTTAATAAAAACTTATACTTTAATATGAGTATATAATGAATATAGTCAACATTTGAGAAAATAGTTTGTTCTAAAATACTCGTCACATTTGTGATTTCAAGAAGTAATAAATCTCTTTTTTCCATGTTTACTCTTTGCATATGACCAATCTTTGCATATGACCAATAATTATTACTTCAATTTAATGGTTTTCTTAGAGAATTAATATTAAATTAAGAGTAATATAATCAATTTATTCAAAAATTTATTGGAACTTCGATAAATTTAATAATTTTTTTAAAGAACGTAAAATTCTAAATGTGACAAGAATTATGCAATCGAGATAGTATAAAAAAAAGTTTGAAAAACGTTTTATAGAAACTATGAAAGTCATCTAATGATGGCAAGGACTTTTTCATGGAGCCATAGATGAGCAAGATGACCACTAATAGACCAAGTATTAGCCAAGGACCACTAACTATCACTGATTCTCAATAGATATTTCTAAATAGTTTGGCACATTAATAGAGTCGTCGAGCGAGTCTACATAAATTTATCTTTTCTTTTGTATAAATACCTGAGCAAAAACTCCACATTTACAAGCCATTGAAGTAGCAGAAGGCAACTAAATCACCAACTTCATCACTTATAAACATAACCAAAAATTGAAGAATGAAACCGTCTAGTATAACAAATAGTGGAACAGCATCTTCTGCTCTTATCCCTACAATCAATCGTCGATCTGCCAATTATCATCCTAATATTTGGGGTGATCGATTCCTCTCCTATGATTCTAACTTCATGGTAAATTTCTCATTTTATTTACTCAACTTTCTTCTTTTATTATATCAGTATTTCCTTTTTTTTTTTTTTTCTTTTTTCGTTCTTGGGCTAATATTTCATTTTTGACAGTGACCTCATGATATAGAAAACCAATATTTCGTTAAAAAAACCTCATAAAGTTTCGTGAAAACCAATATGCATGCTTATGAAATTAGTTATACGATATTTTTTATCTTTTGTTATTCCTTATAAAGTTTTATATAGTTTCATTTATAATACACTAAGACTCCGTTTGTCTTTAGAAAATAACTTATCTAAAATATATATATATATATATATATATATAATATATAGAGTATTTAGAAAAATAAGTCAATGAAAAATATTATTCATATTCAAAATGAAAATTAAGCCAAAATATATATATATATATATATATAGAGTATTTAGAAAATAAGTCAATGAAAAATATTTTCATATTCAAATGAAAATTAAGCCATAATTTTCTATTTTCAAGAGTAGAAAATATTTTCTGAACATTAAAAAACTTATTATAATCTTATACATGCATATTTTCTTAATTTATTAATCACCCATTACTAGCCAGTGACCATGGCTACTATGATAATTTAATTTAATTTTTTTTTTACTTTTATCTTAGTTAACAATAAATAATTTAAAATACGAAATTTCTATAGTTATAAATATTTTTATGGTCTTATAATTAAGTTATATATTTTAATATTTTTTATTAGTTTTCAATATTGTGACCAAATTTGAAAAAAAAAATATTTCCAAAGATAAGGTATTTTTCGAAAATAAATAGAGCTTAAGATGTTTAAATTGTTTTCGCAGACAATAGATAATGCTACACACCATCAGCTTGAAGAGCTAAAAGAAGAAGTAAGAAGAACTCTAGTTGTCACCACCAATAACTCTCTTCAGAAATTGCAATTAATAGATGCAATCCAACGACTGGGAGTGGATTACCATTTTGAGAAAGAGATAGAAGATGAATTAGAAAAATTATATCATGAAAATGATGATAATGAGAATGATCTCTATACTATTGCACTAAGATTCCGATTACTTAGACAACAAGGTTTTAATGCATCATGCGGTAAGTAATATATATAGGCTACAAGTTCATGTTCGAGTGGAAGAGTAATTAACCAAAAATAAAATATATAACTCTAATATTATTGATCTATTATTTCACAGAAGTGTTCAACCAATTCAAAGATGATGAAGGAAACTTCAAGAAATCCTTAGTTTGTGACGCGAAAGGCATGCTAGAGCTGTATGAAGCTACACATGTACGAGTGCATGGAGAAAATACACTGGATGAAGCACTTGAATTTACCACCATTAACCTTGAATGGGCAGCAACTAACTTAGACTATCCTCTTTCATATCAAATCTCTGAAGCCCTAAAGCAGTCGATTCGGAAGCGCTTACCAAGACTAGAAGCTAGAAGATATGTTTCCTTCTACCAAGAAGATTGTTCTCACAATAAAGCTTTACTGAAGATGGCGAAACTAGATTTCAACTTGTTACAATCATTGCATAAGAAGGAGCTAAGTGAGATCTTCAGGTAAGTAGTTTTATTTCGGAATTTATTTGATACACTAAATAAAAGGAAATAATATAAGTTGATACTTGCTACACATATAGCTGATAAGCGAGTAGTGAATGTTCAAATAAAATTTCTCAAAACCAATTGGTTTTTATTAAGTCAACTACCTAACTTTTTTTTTTTTTTTTGGAACAATCAACTACCTATTTAATTTAGTAAGAAGTATTTTATTATATATTGATCAATGTGATATTCACTTTCCAACAAATATAATAATGTCTAAAATTTTAGTGTATATTGTTTATATATAATATTTTCACTATATATAGACATGTTTCAGTATTACCGAGTCAAAAGCTTACTGTTATAACCAATGCATGATTCAATAATTTCAGGTGGTGGAAAGATTTAAATTTTGCAACAAAGCTACCATTTGCAAGAGACAGGATCGTTGAGTGTTACTTTTGGATATTATCAGTGTTCCATGAACCTCAATACTCTTTTGCTAGGAGGATTTTGACCAAAATAATTGCTTTGGCTTCTGTTCTTGATGACATCTATGATGTTTATGGGTCACTTGAAGAACTTACACTACTTACGGAGATAATTCAAAGGTTAATTTGATATGTATTCATTTTTTTTTTTTTTTCTACTTCAAATAAGTTCGGAAAGCTCAATTTGGAATTCATAATATCAGGTGGGAAGTCATAGATTTGTATACAGAACCACTTCCAGAGTACATGAAACACGTTTATAAAGCACTTCGAGAAGTCTATCGTGAAATAGAGGAAGAGCTAGCCAAGGAAGGAAAATTCGATCGCATTCAATATGCTATAGGAGCGGTATGCTAAATATAATTTGTTATTAGAAACGTTTTCTCCTTTTTCTTAATTTTTGTTCATATGTAGATGAAAGAATTTGTCAGATCTTATTATGCTGAAGCGAAATGGCTCCATGAAGGATATGTACCAAGTATGGAGGAGTACATGGGTGTGGCTTTAGTATCAAGCGGGAATCCTATGCTCACTGTAACGTCTTTCGTTGGAATGGGAGATATTGCTACAAAAGAGGCCTTGGATTGGATCTCCAATGAACCTAAGATAGTTAGAGCTGGATCCACCATCAGCAGGCTCATGGATGACATTGTTTCCTATAAGGTATTACGTACACCGATCAGTTACTCAAATATTGATACTTGTAACCGATAAATATTGTAAATTTGTTATATATAAGATACTATAGTTTATCAATTTCAAAAATATATTGATAGTTGAATTATAATTCAACATTTGTATTGGCAGTTAGAGAAAGAAACAGGGAAAATTGCCTCTGCAATTGAATGCTACAAGAGAGAATATGGGGTGACAGAAGAAGAAGCATGCAATGAGTTTAATAAGCAAATAATGAATGCTTGGAAGGATATTAACCAGGAGTTGCTTAAACCAACAGCAGCATGGCCAATGCCACTCCTCATGCGTCCCCTGAATCTTGCTCGTGTAATGGATATTCTATACAAAGATGGAGATAATTACACACATGTTGGTAAAGTTGCAATTGATGGAATCACCTCGTTGCTCATTGATCCAATGAGTTGATATTGCTAATTTTGGAGAGGAGGTTTTGGGTTACCTTTGTTGAATAAATAAATATATATCCATTGATCTCTATATATGTTGATATTGCCTAAGTTTGCGGAGAGGAGGTTTTGGTTACCTTTTTGAATAAATATTATTATTAATATTTATATATATATATATATATTATTATATATATGGGTAGTAGGTAGGGGGGGTAGGTATGATGTTTATATAAGGCGCAATTCCCAGGCACTGTAATGGAGGTAAATGCTATTTTACTCATTTCATATATATATAAGGCATTCCAGGCACTGGAATGGAGGTAAATGCATTACTCATTTTTAAGTTGTAGATTGATCTTTTGGCACAGCCAAATAAAGTGATTGCTATCACCTCTATCATTGATGATATATATGATGTCTTTGGTACGCTTCAAGAGTTTCAACTTTTTACAGCTGCAGTTGAAATGTAATTTTCATTCATACATCACATCTTGCAGGAAAATATTTGCCTAAACAGTCTATAACTCCACCTAGAAATTATTGGTCACTAACCCAATGAAAATAAATTTTTTAAAAAAATTATTTATATTTTATTCTTTCAAATTATTGGTCCACATCCCTTATTGAAATGGGAGATATTGTAACTAAGGAGTCGTTTGATTGGCTATTTAGTGATCCGAAAATTCTTAAAGCCTCTAAAATAATTTGTAGACTTATGGATGATATTGTGTCCCACAAGGTACGTATTAGCTACATCTGGAATCTGTTTGTTCATGTAAAATAATTTATTTTTAGAAAATATTTTCTTTAAAAAATATTTTTTAAATATAATTCATTTTCTGTTATTTGATTGCAATATTAAAAGTTAATTAAAATACCAACAAGTGTTGGTTGGGATCGTAAGCGATTTCGACCCCGTAAGAATAAAAGCATGAAAAATCACAAATTATAAGTCGTTCATGGCTCATGGTGACCAGTGATTGGGTGGGGTGGCTACCGTTGATTTATAAATTAAAACATGCGTGTTTATAAGGTTATAATAACTTTGTCTACTCTTTCTTGGAAGTCATTTTTCTAAAATATTTTATGCTGACTAATTTTCTTTAGCACTCCAAATATCAAAAAATTAAAAAAAAAAAAAAATTTTACAGACAAATTATTTTGTGAAAACAAACGGACTCCTACTTATATAATTATGTGGCATTATTTTAAATAACAATTTTTAGAACATTATATAAAATGGTATTTTTTAAAAATAGAAACAAAAAATTTTAGTAATTCTTATTTTTTTTGTAATATGTAGTTTGAGCAAGAAAGAGGGCATGTGGCCTCTAGCATTGAGTGTTACATGAAACAATATGGTGTGACGGAAGAAGAAACTATTGAAGAATTTCGAAAGCAAATTGTAAATGCATGGAAGGATATTAACGAAGAGTTTCTCTTCCCAACTTCTGTCCCAATGCCTATCTTGTTGAGAATCCTCAATCTTGCCCGAGTGATAGATGTATTGTACAAGTCTGAAGATGGCTACACACATGCTGAAGGTGTATTAAAAGACTTTGTTTCTTCTTTACTCATTGATCCTGTGTTATAATTGCTTGTATGCTAGGTTGGTTGTTCTATGTTTCGAAATTAGAGGAAATTTTTAGATTTCGTTTTTGGTAAGTCGTTTATTGTAATTTTAATATTCAAAAATTATTTGATTACATGGCGTCATATTTTATCAAACAAACTATAATGTAAACAAACTATAATGTATGTGATATGAGGAAAGATAATTAAAATATATTTGAAACTAAAACAATAGTTAAAGGAGAAAAAAAGTGAAATTATAAAATTTATATACTCCTTCCATTCCACAAAGGTAGAATTGTTTATATTTTCATATATTGAACAATAAATTTTTGTCTAGATTTTCTTAATAGATACTTACATTAACATTAGATATAACTTTCAATAAATAATCAAATAGAAATATTGTTGAGAATAAAACATATATACGGAAAATTTCTTGCCTAGAAACGGTATATGGATGGTTCCATAAACTAAGTTAGTCAAAAAAAAGTTGGTGTTTTGTCTTTTTCTTTTTTCAGTATATGGTAAGAAATATTTATAAATTTCTTTTTTATTTACTGTATAAAAATTTAAAAAATTGATACTTATGGTAAAATTCCCAATAATTAAAATTTGGCTATAAGTAAAACAGATTTCCTAAAAAAAAGAAGAAGACTACATGTAATATACTTTCTCAAATTAGATTTTAAAAAAAAAAAGAAAAAGAAAAAGAAACATGACATAAATATAAAAAGTGGGCTAAATGTTGAAGTACAAATGTCATAATACTAGGACATCTTCGTGAAAACATTATATAAAATTATAAAAAGTTATGAGAAGAGAAAAGGAACACTTTTGTTTATCTTCTGTTGTGTTGTTGGCTGATGTTTGGCCATGAACATATATATATATATATATATATATATTCACTTGCTTTCTACGTTTGTTGTTATTGCCATTGGTCATTGGTCCAGTCCAGGTCCTCCATCCCTTTACGTGGTTACAATTTGTGTGCAGAGAAATAGAAGACTTGTGACCAATAATAAACCGAAAATTTGCAAATTGAACGTATAGCACAACTGATGACTTGCGTATATATAGGACAGCCTATAAAAGAAACAAGAAAGAAATAAAATATAGTTCAGTAAAATACAACCCATTCTCACTTATATTTATATAAAATGCAGTTTTTATGTTTTCATGCACATTTTATACCCAATCAAGTATAATCTGATTGGTCTTTCTAATTTTCGTAGTAGATGTGGGGAATGAGAGGTCTCGAGTTCAAGTTATCTCCACCATAAAGTTATACTCAAAGTTATTCCGATTTATTGGACCTCCATATATCAAAAAAAAAAAAAATTACATTTCTAAGTATAGAATAGAATCAATTAGAAAACTCTATGCACGGAATAAAGTATTTACTAATTAATTACCCAGTGTTCCTGCACTTGGAAATATATCTAAGGGGTGTATTAGATTAATACTCTATTAGATTTTAAAAGATTTTAAAATCTCAGTCGTATTCAATCTATTCAATTTAGATGCTTATAAAATCAATATAAATTTGATGGTATTCAACAAATTACTGATTTAGAAGGATTTTATAAAATTATTGATTTTTGTTGGATTTTAGGGTGCTAGGTATGAATAAAAGAATCATTCACAAATCGATCTTACAATTCAAAGATTTCAAAAATCTTTTAAAATCTAACAAAGTGTTAATCCGATACACCTCTTAATAAGAATGGAGCGGAATGAATACCCCCGAATTTTAAACTACTTGTACAGGCATCCGTTTAAAATTTTACTACACGTATTTATTATAAACCATTTAAATACTCATTTTAAGTAGCTGTATTCGAACCCGTTTAAATTTTATTACCCATTTCTGTCCAAAATCCGTTTAAAGTACCTCATAAACGGGTAGGGTATCCACGAATTAAACTATCCAAGTTCGAGATTATTTACTAACAATAGATAAGGTACCCGCGGGTATCCACCACCGAACCAGTTTACTATAGTGGTTAATGGGTAGCGAGAATCCAAAGATCTATTCACGTACCTTACCTGTATTCATTACGGGTAGTAATTTATATATTAATACTTTTGTTTGTATTATTAAAATTTTCAACTCATAAGACCATATAAAAATATTTATAATCATAGAAATTTTGTATTTTAAAATGTTATTATTAAATATAAGAAAAAATGCATGAAAAATCACAAATTATAAGTCGTCGATGGCTCATGGTGACCAATGATTGATTGTATTGGATTAATACTCTATTAGATTTTAAAATCTCAATCGTATTCTATCTATTCAATTCAGGCTCTTATAAAATCAATACAAATTTGATAGTATTTAACAAATTACAGATTTGGAAGGATTTATAAAATTATTGATTAAGTTGGATTTTAGGGTGGTAGGTATGAATAAAAGAGTCATTTACAAATGAATCATCTAACCCAAAGATTTCAAAATTCTTTTAAAATCTAACAAAGTCTTAATCCAATACACCATTTAATAAGGATGGAAGCTGAGTGAGTACCTATGAATTTTAAACTACCTATACAGGCATCCGTTTAAAATTTTGCTACTTGTATATAAACCATTTAAATACTCATTTTAAATGTCTGTATTCGAACCCGTTTAAATTTTACTACCCGTATCTGTTCAAAATCTGTTTAAAATACCTCTTAAATGGGTAGGATACTCGCGAATTAAATTATCCAAATTCGAGCTTATTTACTAACAATAGATAAGGTACCCGTGGGTACCCACCACCAAACCAGTTTACTATATAGGTTAATGGGAAGCATGTATCCAAAGATCTATACACGTACCTTACATGTAGTTATTACAGGTAGTACTTTCACTACACATATCCGTTACGGATAGTAATTTCACTATCTATATCTTCCAAACTCATTTATAACTACTCATCCTTTTTAAACGGATCGGAGCGGAGCGGGTATCCTAAAATACCTATACCACTTCCATCTCTATCCCTTAAAGTGTAAAATAATGTATTAATTATTGGATTAATTTCGAATTAATTCATGTGCTGAAGAATTTGATATTTTGACAATATTTAATATTAATGCTGCTACAAATTTTCAGAATTAATTTGATTATTTTTTTGAAATTTTTATGAGTGGATTTTAATTAAATAATGATTTAATCAAATAAAAAAATTGAAAAAGCTTTCAGAATTATATCAATTGATTTATTTTTTTGGACACAGATTTTTGGATGAGTGGATTTTAAGTTAATACATTAATATGATTTCACATCAAATAAACAAAAAAATCTGTCTAAAAAAGCTATAAAAAGGATAAAAATTGAAAAAAGAATACTGAAGAATGCAATCTATCATTTGTTGTAGGCTGGACCACCACAGGCTCTTGTAAGCGCAAGCGAGGTGGATTGAGTGAATCGGGGTATGCCCTTATGTGAGGCTACCTTTCTTTGCACGAGATTTCCGGTAGTGGCGTAAGTTCTGGCTAGCAGTGATTGCTGGTTTATACATAATATATATATATATATATAACTAAAATAAGTCAATAGCTAAATCACTAAATAATATCATAATAAGTAACTTATACTTGTGATCTATTCTCCCAACCCGCATGATCGTAGCACACCACATTCTTACGTCAATAAAAACAGAACAAAAAGCGTAAATATATGTATACTTGTGATTTTCCAACGAGATGATCGTCTTTCTGTCTAAAAAAAAAAACTACAACAAATAAAAAAATAAATAAGTTTGTAATTTTTTGGATAAAAATAAAAATATACAACAGGCTATGATAACCAAGGAGCCCAATATTTCCGATTTCATTCTCAAATTGACTAACCAATTCTAAAGCCCAAATGGCATAGCACATCTGGCCCAATTCTAAAGCCCAATATTCCCCTTCAAAATGATTTCTTCCCCAAACCCAACACTTACGAAATATCGCAATTAGATTTAAAACAATCAAGTCATCAATTTCTCCATATCTGATATCCCAAATTGTTACCATCAAAAAATTAGGTCCAACTAGGTTCTGCAATTCTTGTAAAGAATCTGGAATTCCCTATTAGACCATTTTGAGCAAAATCAAGAATATAATTTTAATTAGTGATGATTGGTTAATTGCTATTATTTTAACGGTTAATTATAATTATGGTATCTAAACATTTTAATTTTTTTCTATTTTAATGTCAAAACGAGAAAGTTTTTACAATTAAATATCTGAACTATTATTTTAAAAACCGGTAAAATAGGAATGGAGAGTCAGACTGGGTTGGTTCAAACCTCGAAGCATTTCCTGCTAAAGACTGTAAATTTAAAAAAAAAAAAAAAAGACCTCGAGGAGCATTTTCCTGCTAAAGACTGTTAAATTTAAAAAAAAAAAAAAAAAAGTCACACATAAATGTTAAACCAATCCATGTAAATTTAAAAAAAAAAAAAAAAGTCACATCATAAATTTAACCAATCCATGACATTTCAAAAGTCAGCAAACAGAAACAGGATGTTTCAAACAAATTGCCACTCGCTAGGTAAAAAGCACGTTAATGGATCCCCAATTTGATTAAACAAGAATTATAGCAGAATGCACTTGTTCCGAGAACCGAAACGGTTTTTTAAAGTGTAAGATGGTGAAATAGATAGATCATGGCGATATATAGAAGAACAAAAAAGAAAAGGGCAGTGAAAAAGGCAGGAGTAAGATTTTATTGTTGTTAATGGAACTGACTAGGCAGTTATTTTTATTCAAAGCAAATGAAGGGTTTGTTCTGATGAAGGTTTTGCAAATGAAACAAAGTTCACCAAACTAAACAACCGATTAACAAGGGTTAAGGTTTTTTTTTTTTTTTTTTAACTTTGAGTTAGCAATAAAAGAAAATGGAAACAAAAAAATAAGTCAAAAAAGTCATTTTCGTTTCCGTCTTCTTCTCCAGGATTGAGCTTTTTTAATCTTGGTCCTTGCTTTGTTGCTCTCTTCCTCAATATTTAAAGGAGACTGCGTAGAAGAGATGAGAAGTGAGCACAGTAGCTTTATTAATGAAAGGCAAAAAAGGACTTAAAAGTGGGAAATCACGTGATGTGCATGTGAGAGAAGTGATGTAGGCTTTATTATTTCCACGTCACCTGCCAGCATATTAAAAATAGGATCCATAACGTCCCAATTATATTTTCAAAATGACACGTCAGCTATAATGCCTTAATTGCAAAATTTAATAAATTTTCACACTCAATTTAAAATATTTTTTGGTCAAAAACTAAAATCAAAAAATTAAAATGTTCAAACACTAAAATTATCATTTTCCGTTACTATTTAATTTTTAAAATTTAGTACCGAAGTTCTCAATTTTGAGAATTGTATTATCTAATCTCCCTAATATGATGACCTTACACTACAAAGTTCAATTTTTGATTGTTCCATATATTGGCTATGAAGTGTGAAAAATGTATTAATATATCTCAAATAATTTGGTTTTCAAAATTCACTGTATCTCCTAAAAAAAATATCACTATATCTATTCTTTATATTATCAACGTATTATACTGATTCATCCAGCTTAGGGATGAAAGCGGGTCGAGTATTCCCAAATTTTAAACTATCCAAGTTCATATTCATTTAAAATTTTACAATTTGTATCTATTGAAAATCCGTTTAAATATCCATTTTAAATATTCGTATTCAAACCCGTTTAAATTTTTATTACCCGTGTCTGTTTAAAACCTGTATAAAATACCCTTATATAGATAGGTTACCAACGAATTTTAGCTATTCAAATATGAACTTATTGAAAATACAATATTTACTAATCATGGATAAGATGCTTGTAGGTACCCACTATCAAATCCGTTTAATATAACCAATCTCAAGTAGTGGATACTCACGTACCTATATCCATACCCTATCTGTTTTCATAACGGATATTAATTTCACTATCCGAACCTGTCCTAAAATTCATTTATAACTACCCATATCCTTTTTAAATGGATCGGAGTGAAATAGATATCTTAAAATACCCGTATTGCTTTCATCCTCATCCAGCTATTACAGGGGAATTTTTTTATAATCTCATTTCCATTTTTTTATTATTACTATTATTTTATGTTCACTAACAAAAAAAGGAAAGAACCTTTGACTTTTTTTTATAGAAGAAATCAAATTAAAATTTTTGGCTGGAGGAAACTGTATACATATATAAATCAATATGTTTATATTTTTATGGGCAGTGTTTGATTTGGTGGTCTTTCTACAAGTTCATTATAATTACTTTTAAATTTCTTCATTCTATTAAAGAATAAATATACATTTCTTTCTACCTAATTGTTTAAATAATAAAATATCTTAGACAAAATTATTGTAATCATAACAATAATAATTTAGAATTAGATCTAAAAATAAAATCCCGAAATATGGGAAAATATAAGCCTCAATATTTAAACACTAATAATTCACATCTATATTAAAAGATAAAAATCTAAGAATTATTTGAAAAAAAGACAAACAAAAAAGACAAATCCCTATAAAAGAGTAACCAAACTAGAACGAAGGAATTAAGTAGTATAATCTTGAACAGTTAAAATAATTATAATAAAAATAATTATTTCTATGCTTCATCATTATTCCTAAAAATTAAAAAAAAAGAAAAGAAAGTTCAACAAACTAGCCCTTGTTCATAATAAATGAATTCTATAAAATTTTTTTCCTTCGTTTTGTTCCTAAAAACAAAAAAAAAAAAAAAAAATCATGGTATTCCTAAAAATTTAAAAAACAGAAAAGAAAGGTTCAACAAACTAGCCCTTGTATCATGAAATAAATGATAATTCTATAAAATTTGTTTTCCTTCGTTTTGTTTCCTAAAAACAAAAAAAACAAAAAAAAAAAAAAGAAAAAAGAAAATTGGACACTGGCTAGGCTAATCCTTCTAAAAGCATAGAGATGAATTTTACTACTTATTATATATATAATATTTAATCAAGGTATAAGTGAATGTATTTATTTATATGAATTTTATTATTCACATTTGAATAAATAAACAACAAGATTATTATATTGCACATAATAAATATGATTCGTATTTACTATTTTTTTTAAATGATTATATCGAATATTTTAGAAAATAAGTACAAATGAATTATGATTTAAAAATTTATTTGAAATGTGATTTTAGAGTATTGAATTAATTCTTTATTTTAAATTATAACATACTGAATATGAGATTTTATTTATATTTAAATTAATTCTATATGCATATGATTGATTTGTTGTAAATGGTGTAAGATAAATCACTTTTCAAAAAAAAAAAAAAAAAGTTAAGATAAAATCAACATCCCATCAAAAATTAGTAATAGAAACATGTAGTCATGCATTAGTTCAATAACAGCATCAAGATATTCTTTTCCTCCTTTACGAAGAAATTTAAATAATCAAACATTCTGACAAAACAAGTCACCAATTTGCCTTTCCATTCCATGGTGAAAAAAAAAAAAAAAAAAGTGTAAGATAAATCAAATCCATCAAAATTTAGTAATAGAACATGTAGTTCATGCATTAGTTCAATAACAGCATCAAGCATATTCTTTTCTCCTTTAGATAAGAAATTTAAATAATCAAAATTCTGACAAAAAAAGTCACAATTTGCCTTTCCAAGTTCCATGGTGCAGTCCATTATCCATAACATCCAATCAACATTTCTATTATAAGTCCACTTCTCAGTCAAATCCAAAAATCCAATGGCAAATCAACCGGTTTTCGCATCTGTTACGTGTCCAACATCAGAGATCAACGGCTTCTTCGGTGTCCACGTGTTCTTCCGTCCCCACTCTTCACCATGCCAAGAAAAGGATGTCGCATATGGTCCTATCAAAAACAAATTTTAAATTTAAGTAAGAAAAAAAAAAAGAAATAAAAAAAGAAGATGCAAATCCGAGTACAACTCTCTCTCTCAATCAGCCATTTCTATATAACAAGCATTCTTCTAGCAATAAATGTAATATTACAGAAACAACAAATAAAACAGAAACAAATATGGCGATCACGTCGTCACCATCAGATCCGGACCTCCGGTCGCCGCTGCTCAAACCTTCTCCGAAAGAATCCGAACCGGAAAAGTTAACGATAGATGATATGCTTCAAAAGTACTGCGGCGAATTTGGCTTATGGCAATTCCGTCACTTTGTGCTAACCAGCTTAGCTTGGGCTCTCGAAGCGTTTCACGCCATGGTCATGATCTTTGCCGATCGTGAACCGGATTTCAGGTGTTTGGGTTCGGGTTGTGAGGAAACGGCTAAAAGCGTTTGTTCGTTTGAACCGGGTTCGTGGGAATGGGTCGGTGTTCTAGAAAGCTCCACAGTTGCTGAGTGGAGTTTGGTTTGCAATCAGAAGTTCAAGGTTGGTTTGGTTCAGGCCGTTTTCTTTGGCGGCTGCATGATCGGTGAGTTTCTGTCTCTGCGTTTTTCTCGTCCTTTCCTTCTTTTCTTTTTTTTTTTAAAAAAAAAAAAAGAAAAAAAATCTTTGGTTTCCTCTAATTTAGCGTTAAACCGATTTATTCTCCCATGATTTAATCTTTTCTTTCCGAAATCTCGTCTTGACATTCATTGACATTTATTATTATTATTATTATTATATGGTTATATTAAATTGCATTATATTATTATTATTATATGGTTGTATTAAGTTGCATTTTTGGACCAACAATTTTGATACTGACTTTGATTTTGTATTACTAACTCATGATGATGATTATTATTATTATTATTATTACTAAAAATTTATTTGAATAAGGACAGGGTGGATACTAAGCAGTTTGCCCTAATTTGTTTAATTAATATTTGGTATTGTCACGTGATAGACGTAGTTTTCCATTAAGGAAATCCAGTATGTGGTCGGACCTTTAGAGTATTAACTTTGAGATAATGTTCAAATATATTTGAACTTTAATTTCAATAAAAGTATACACAGTTAAATTTAAGATATTCATAATAATAAAAAAAATTATTTAGTAATGATTGGACTGGTTAGGACTCATTCCCCGCTAAAATTAAAGATTTCGAATTACATTTTTTAAGATAGTAATTATCTGAATAATAACTTGTACGTGGGCCCTACAATACTCTAATGAACTTCCGAATGCCAGTTTTATTATTTTCCTCGACTAATGCACGTTTATTAATAATTTGGAGCCATCGAGCTCTGCAATTATAACAATATATATTTATGTGAATTAAATATATGGACACCGCATTTGTTTTTTAGCTTTGTTCGAGATTTTTTATTAAAAATAAAATAAAAGTAATCTTATTCAACAGATGATGTCATAAGTAAAGCTTTATTCAATTTATCTGTTTTTCTTTTTTTTTTTTTAATTTTTAATTATATTACTATATAGTATATACTCATTTATCATAGAATGTCAGTGCACGTCATTTCCACGTTATATCTTCCTCACTATATATGGTTTTCAAAAAGAAATTCTTTCCACTCAAAAAAAAAAAAAAAAAAAAAAAAAAAAAAAAATCAAAAAAAAAAAAAATAAAAAAAACAAAAAAAAAATAAATCTTACTGCTGACCACATATCGGTGTCTTCTTAAAAAAAAAAAAAAAAAAAAAAAACAAAAAAAAAAATCTTACTGCTGACCACATTCGGTGTCTTCTACGTTTACCTGTAAATAATTCCACTTTAAAAATAAAGCAAGAAAAGAGCTTGAATTAGAGAATATATTTAGTTAGTTTTTATTTCAAAACTATTTAGTTTGTTTATTTAATTTAAAAATTCTGACTTTACTCTAAAGATAACTTAAATTATATGTATATAATTGAAAAAGAACAAAGGCGCGGTCACAAAAGCTTAAGGCCAAATAAATGGTCCGTGCTAACCCACTTCCACTGCGTCTAATGATAGTGATATGTGTGACTAAAGAGGATATTACATATGGGTCGTTCTATCCCTTTTTCTTTATTCATTCTTAGTTTTGATTCTTTAGCATTTGCTATTTGCTTTTTGAGATAGATTTCTACTTTTTGCTCTCCTCTTCTTTATTTGATTAGGTGAAATGATCTTAAATAGTCAAATACAGTATACTGATAAGTTTTACCTCAAATATGTGTAGATGTATTGCATTATTTAGATGTCAAGTTCTGTTGAGCCACTGCTTTTGTAACTGAAACTAATTTGTAGTCAAAACTTCCATTCTCCTTAACTTTTGACTTTGTTCAAAAGGGTGTGGATCTTTTTCTTTCCACAGAACTCTAGACGAAATAAAGTTCATGTTCTGACATTGGAAAGAGCCAATGGAGTAATGATTTCATTCTCCTTGGCTTCAATGGAGAAATAATAGCAAGAAAAGTGTAGTGGGATCACATGAAACACGTCTCGTAGATGCAATGAGTATGTTGATAACAATGTAAAGCTTGTTGGTTCTCATATCTTTTTATGAGTCTCTCTTCCTTCTTGTGAAAGTTTATGTTCCTTTTATCTTTTCTTTTTTTCCTTTAAACTGTTCCATCCATATAACAAAATTTATTTTTTTTCCCGTTTTTTACATTAATTCTCTAATCTTGAATGAATAATTTGGTTTTAGTTTCGGCCTGAAATCTCGATACAGTATGCAAAATCCTACTCATAGTACCAATCAAGTCACACAAAAAGAAAAATAAATAAATAAATATATAACATCCTTATTAATAATTGCAGTATTGAATTTTTCAGGTGCAGGAATATTTGGCCATCTTTCAGACTCCAAACTGGGAAGAAAAGGCTCTCTAACAGTAGTTTGCTTGTTAAACGCATTATTTGGTTGCTTAACAACATTAGCCCCAGACTACTGGACCTATCTCGTTCTCCGTCTTCTCACTGGTTTCAGCACCGGAGGAGTTGGCCTATGCGCCTTTGTTCTTGCCACCGAGCCTGTTGGCCCTACTAAGCGTGGCACAGCTGGCATGTCCACATTCTACTTTTTCTCAAGTGGAATAGCCGTATTATCTGGTATAGCATACTTATTTCAATCTTGGCGTGCACTCTACATTGCCTCCTCAATTCCTTCAATTATTTACCTTGTATTTGTTATTCCGTTTATCTCCGAGTCTCCGCGATGGTACCTTGTCCGCGGGAGAATCAGCGAAGCAATGAAAATAATGCGCAAAATTGCTAATTCAAATGGAAAGTTTCTTCCTGATGGAGTTATTCTAGCCCTAGACGAAGATGCAAATGATAGTCGTTCAAGCAATGAACAAAATTGCAAGAAAGAACCTACAGAAACAAAAGAAGCAATAACAGGTTCTTTAATTGATGTAGTTAAATCACCAATAACAAGAATCCGCTTGTTTTTAGCTGTGGCTATTAACTTCTTGTGTTCTGTTGTCTATTACGGTCTTAGCTTAAACGTCGTCAACCTCCAAACCAACCTTTACTTTAACGTGCTGCTAAATGCAGTAGCAGAAATGCCAGCATTCCTTATAACAGCAGTTTTGTTGAACAAATTCGGAAGGAAACCATTAGCGGTCGGAACATTATGGTTTAGTGGTTTATTTTGCTTTATGGGAAGTTTGATGGGAAGTGTCGGGGTATGGAAAGTGACAAAGATGGTGTGTGGGATATTTGGTATATTTGGAATGGCCGGAACTTACAATTTACTCTTCATATATACAGCAGAGTTATTTCCTACGGTGGTTAGAAACGCTGCCCTTGGTTGTGCAACACAAGCAGCACAAATGGGGGCAATATTGGCACCACTTATTGTCGTTTTAGGTGGTGCCTTGCCGTTTTCTGTTTTTGCGGTTTGTGGAATTGTGGGAGGACTGCTTGCGTTTTACTTGCCGGAGACACTAAATCAGCCGTTGTATGATACAATGAGTGGATTAGAGGATGGTGAAAGTGGCTGGAGAGGTGTTTGATGTTTTGCTTCTTTGAAATATGTATTTTGAGTTTTGAGTAACATGAGGAAGAGTTGATGAGGCCTTCTAGGGCCATAGCAATTAGTCAATATTGTAATGGACACAAAACTGGGGATGAGCATATGGTAATAAATTTAAAATGGGGATGAGCATCTTTTTTTTTTACTCACTTTTTTTTTTTTTTTTTAGCATGGCGGTATGAGCATCTTTTTTTTTACTCACTTTTTTTTTTTTTTTTCTGTTCTTACTTGTACTAATTAATTTTAGCGTTATCACACGCTTATCATTATTACCAAATGGGAGCATTATTTATTCGAGCTTATTTGGTTGTTACATGTACCACATGGTTATTCAAAATCATAAATAAAATTTATTTATTATGTTAAATTTCAAAAAATTTATTTTGAAAATGGAAATAAAAATTACTATCAAATTAAATTATACTATAATATCGAATACAAATAAAAATTATTTTTTTTTTTTTTTTTTCTGTTTGACTTGTACTAATTAATTTAGCGTTATCACAGCTTATCATTATTACAAATGGACATTATTTGATTCGAGCTTATTTGGTTGTACATGTACCACATGGTTATTCAAAATCATAAATAAAATTTATTTAATTATGTTAAATTTCAAAAAATTTATTTTGAAAAGGAAAATATAAAATTACTATCAAATAAATTATACCTATAATATCTAATACAAATAAAAATTATTTCATAATTAAAAAAAATTATTTTTTTTAAATGAATAATACTCTAATCATCTTCCACCACAATTGACAAAAAAATTGTGTATGAAATTTTAAATTTTAAGCTACTGAAACTACAAGTTTACACACCGAACAAATTGAGGAGTTCCAACTGGCTTAGAAATGGAGTTCAAAGTTGATAGATAGAGAAGGGAAATGAGCAAATTCCATTATAAATTCTCAATTTCCAATAAATTTTCACTCCCTTTTATTCCCTTTTGGATGAAATACAGAGTGAAAAATTGCACTTAACACAGACAAACCAACCCATATAAGACATTTTTTTTGCCTGAATATATATATATTTACATCATATATATTATTATATATATTCAACAAATCAAACGAGGCTTTGATTAATTTTGTTTGGCAAATATAAAATGCTAAAACATGAAGGGAGTGGCTGAGAATGTAGGAATTGCTGTGAAGTGATTGTTATGCCTGCAACCAAACAACAAATTTCTCAGATTCTCATTATTAAAATTCCGAAACAACAATAACAGCAGCCCGAAACATCGGGCCAAGAGAGCGAGACGAAATTTAAAGGAAAAGATTGAAAACAACGGTTACCTGTAATCTTCATTGAAGCTGGCAACACTAGCTATATTACGGGACCCACCACCACCGCTACTTTTCCTCTTCACCACCCTTTCCGTTCCTTCCTCCACCACCATCACCACGTTATCCTCTGATATCGAGCATAGCGTGGGCTTCCACACAGCCACTACAGTCGCCGACGATGGAGATGTAGTACCTCTTTTCCTTCTTCTACTTCTCGATGTCGTCAACGACCGCAGCGTCAGTGACGACACCAGCGCCCGCGTCTCCTCCGAACGCCGCCCGTACAGCTCCGGCATATCCTTCTGGTTGACTTCACCACCGGTGGGACCGCAACAAGACATGAATTCCAGAAAAAACTTCATGATGAAGATTATAGGTATATATAATTTATATAAATATAGAAATAGAAAAAAAAAAGGAACAAAAACAAAACGAAATTAAGAGAAAGGAGAACCGAAACCCTCTTCTCTCAATGTCGTTTTAGGGTTTAGGGCATCTTTTGTCATCATTGATGACTGCTGGTAGGCGGCGAGGGAGAGATTGGTGGTGGTGATGAGACGGAACTGTGAGGTTCATTTGGGGATACGAGCGGTGGTTTTTATAAAGGGAGGACATTTTTTGGGCTTTGTCTGATTTTAGGATAAGAATGGGCATCGAGTTTAATGTTATTACAAGTGTGCCCCTCGAATAGGAAGAGTGGATCTGATGGCGGACCCGTCGCTTTAATGGCGACAAGGCAAATAGGCAAAAGTTACCCCGCCTTTTTCTCATGTCTTTGTGGAGAACCATATTGCTGGATGGATGGATGCATAAATTTTTTTTTTTCTTTTTTTTTCTTTTTTTTTTCTTTTTTTTAGGATTAGGAGGATAATCCAATCTTTTTCCTGAAAAAAGGAAAATAAAATGAAGCTAATTATATAATAATATTTCTATAAATAGATCCTATGGACAATAAAATTAATTGTATATGGAAATTTTGTTTTAGGAGATATGATTGTTTCATTACCCGTTAATTAATATATGCAATGGCTAATCTTAATTGTCTTGTACGGCTAAATATGTCAATTTGCTAATATTTAACTTGCTTATATATATATATATATATATATAGGCAAGGCCTATATATGAAACTGAGAAAGATGTTAATAAAAAATAATAATAATAATAACTAATTAGCGAAACTGATGTGAAGTCCATTTATTAATTAGATTATGTATGATTTCTTAATTAATTATAATGTAAGAGAGCAAATTTGATTAACTAAATACTTTTAAATTTAAGGATAGGTTTCATTTCATAGGATAAAACAGTTGGTATTTGTTCCATATGCTTGTCTTGAGTCTTTTGTCTAGCTTCTATTTATTTATTAGGGTGTAAGAGATTATTATTGATTCACACACATGAAAGAGGCTCTATTTGAATATGTGAAAATTATAATTTTATATATCTAAAGTTGATTAAATAAATAAAAATTATTAAAAAAATAAAAAAATTAATTAAAATTTCGGCAGCAAATGGTTTTTTTTTTATCATTTTCTTCAAAAAAACAAATTAAATGAATTTTTTTAGAATCAAGTTGACTTGATTTCATCGTGGTGGGCAATCTACTCGCTCAACCAACTTACATTTTAAAAATCTGCAACAACAGAAAATTGGAGAAAAAAAAAAAAATCTGTATTGCGAAATGACTTGAAGATCCTTCTTTTATTTCACAATCTCAAATGATTTAATTTGCACGTGAAATTATATAAAAATATTAATGGACATTGTCTTAAATTTAAAACAAATGATGGAATTATACAGATCATAGTAGAAGTCATTAGGAACCTATTTTGTGAAGAACCACATCTCTTTCGGAAATATATTTTTTATTCTCAATATGTACATAGATTTGCTCCTTGTAAAAATGGTTTTGGGGTTAATAACTATTTAGTCCTTCAAATTTGATCATAATTATAATTTTACTTCTCATATTTAGTAAATGTACTAATTAGTTCTTAAAAGTTTAATCCTGATAAACTATTTAATTTTTCAAGAAGTGTCATTTTAAGGGTCAAATACCTCCCTTTTCATAAAAAAAAAACCTTAAATACCTTGTAATATTCAAAATTTAAACCCTTAAACTAATTATTGAATTACCATTTAGCCTCTTACTTAATAATAAAAATTACATTTTTAGACAAAGGACTAAATCTAAAAGTTCGAACTAATCAATAAATTTACCAAATAAGATAGATGAAATTATAATTATAACTGAACATAAGGAACTAAATAGTTATTTATTTATATAAAGTTTAATGGCGCTTCTACTTTTCAATTTGATCTATTAGACTCTCATTAATTTTTTGTTGTGAAGGTGAACCTTATTCATTTTTTAAACCTTCGATTTCAACTCATTTCAATTTAATGATTATAAATTGATTTCAATTCATTAAAAGCTTTTTAATTAATCGTTGCAGGATGAGACAAGGTGCCATAATTCTCTTTTCTTTGGTCAAGTCTTCAATTCAAGCTATGAGTATAAAGTCTTTTAAAAACTTGAATTGATCTGTCTTGCACAAATCCAAATTAATTGGTTTGTAAGTTTTAGACTTGGATGGTTTAAAAAAAAAAAATCTTAATTACCTATCTTTAGCTCAACTATTTCAAGTAAAAATCACATAATTTAAAAAACTTATTCTCTCCTTGAACAATTGGCAAATTGGGAATACGTAGAAAAAGATGTTTCAATGCATATTGACAAAATAAAAATTTATTTTGCACCACAAAATTCTCCAACGCAGATACTACACACTACATGTAGTATCTTCTCCAACTCCCACATATACATTCTCCCAACAAAGATGCTTTTTGAATCTTTTATTTTTTAATTATTTTTCCCCCTTATTTTCTGGAAAATTCTCTCTACACACAAGAAAAGAACATGTCAAGAAATCCTCAACCCTACTAAACATTGACAGTCAATGACCATGTGCCTACCATGTGTTTGTGAAAATGCTAGAACTGTCACGAATAGAAGACGCATTAAATTTTTTCATCTTACATTATGTAGCAAATAACATATTCATGGAAAATGAAAATTTTAGATATCTTCTTGTTTGGTTACTTTCAAGGGCATGAAAATATGTTGGATTGCCTCAACCAAGGGCAAACTCTCTACGTATATTGGCCCATATGGACAACAATGTGCACTGTATTGATAGGGTTTTGGGGCCAGCTGTGGTTTTGCAATTAATGAGAGAAAATTGGTATGCGATGGGTTTGAATTTTCGTGCTATAAGCAATGTACCAGCATGATTTTGAGTTCTTGAGGCCTAATATAGTTCATAAAATAAAAAGTGAAAGCTGAGGCACAAAATGCACCCTATAAGACAAGTTGAGATGAGACAAAGAATTGATACATAGGTGGTCCAAGGAAGACTTTTTTGGAGTTGATTGATTTATGTACTTATAACTTATCTTCTATTAAGTTGATACGTAGCAATTCCTTCAAGTTCAAGTGATATATAATTAATAAATGGAAATTGATATACTTTGTTTGGACTAAATTTGTTATATACTTTTCCTTAGAAAGAATAGTAGAATATAAAATCAATATTAGCGTGTGGGTGTGTGTGTATATATATATATATATGGAAAAGCGCATTTTTAAATCTTAAATTTATAGTCTTGTCTAGGATTGGAAGCGGCGCTGGTATTTTAAAATACTCGACTCATTTGGATCTATTTAAAGATGATATAGATAGTTATAAATGAGTTTGAGACGAATACAGATGGTGAAATTACTATCCGTAATGTATACGGGTAGCTAGGATACAAGTATAGGTGTTTGGATATCCGTTACTCGTTGTATTAAGGGATACCCGTGGGTATACTATACATTGTTAGTGAAAATTGTACTATTTTTAAATAAATTCGAATTTGGATAGTTTAAGATTTGCAACTACCCTATCAGTATAAATTTAAGTGGCACAAAATTAGAGCTTTAGGGCACTGATTTGGCACTATTTTTTTCCTATTTTTTCTATCTTTTAGTTTGAACATTAATAGAGATAAAATTAATATTTTTAATTACATTAATGGTATGTTTTTCAGTTTTTTTTTTCAATAAAACTTTAGAGGTACTTCCTCTAATAAAGCAATTAAAAATATTATTGAATAACAATCTTAATATTATTTCAAATTTCAGAGTTTTTTTTTCCAATCATCCACGTACGTATTCTCTTTGATATTTAGATTGACACAAAAATAGTACGCTAAACTATTTACTCATCTAAAGTCTCTAATGTTAAGTGAATTCGTAATATTTTTTTGGATTTTTTATAATCAACGATCACACTGAGTATATGACTAGTTGAGTATAAACACCACCAACTTGGTGAACCAATAATTCAAGTTCCCCAAAGAGAAATCTTAATGGATCCATCAGTTTTGGCACGCTTTCGAAAAGAAAAATCATGATTTTGGAATCACACATTTTTCATACTTAGTAAATATATATATATATATTGGAAATTTGAGAACATAATACGTTTTATTAACAAAAACAAAATTTTTAGAATACTCAAAAGAAAAAAGTTTCATCAATTTTGCTAATGATTACAAATATATTTATTTTAAATTTTATAAAATTTAAATTTTAATTAATTAAATAAATTGTTAAAAAAAAATTTAAAAGGAAAAAATCGTTGTTTTAGAAATTTTGACTTTTTTTTTTTTGATAGGTCTCTTTTTCGATATTGTAAAATATTATTGTGGATGTCTTCCATTAACTTTCATATAAATTTATAGTAAGAATCTTAACGTTATTAACATTAGAAATGGTGATGTAAAAAATAATTATTATTATCATTATTATTTGATGTTAAAAATTTAGGAAGAGGTTGAAAATTGTTGTGATTGACAGACTCAAAATTGAGACCTTTCATTCTTTATATAATTGAAAATACCAACCGAACCGATCACATAGCATTTCATTCTTTTTTTAAAAGGAATCAACTACTGAAAAGCCAAAGGAGAAACAAACAGGAGAAAATATTAGAAAAAGGACAAAGGAAAATATCGCAAAAGGCAAACAGCAAGAAACCAAAAGAGTGAAATTTTTCAAAGACACCAAAGGCCTGGAAGTTTACTGCCCAGCTGATATTATTACTTCAAAAGTTTAATGCATATAATCTATAAATAAATTAGATTTCGAATATCAGATACAATTGATGTCCAAATGGTCCAAATGACACGCAAGAAAAGCTTTTCAATGGTACAATTGTAAGACTAATTTACCTCAGTTCATTATGGGCGTGCTTTATAAGACATTTCTGAATAGCCAAAAGTGCGTCGCATACGACAACATAAGACATTCTCACCTATTTCAGAGTTCAATCAGCAAACTACGAGGCTCCAATACTTTTTTAAGTCTCAAGCTATGAGAAAAAAACCAAAATAATATTCAAGAATTCAAGCCCCTTGCTGACTAGAAATATCTGTAAGATGCCAAGCTTGTTAGCTTCAGAACGAGTCATTGACGGCCATATGAAACACTCCTGTCATCACCATATGGATGAGCTGTATCACTACCGTATGCTGGACTAACGGTATTACCATATGCAGGATCAGTGTTGCTCCCATACACAGGGCTCTTGTCGCTCTCATATGCAGGAGTTGTAGCATTCCCACGTACAGAATTTGCATTGCCCCAGTTTGCGGGACCAGTTGTATTCCCATATACAGAAGTTGTGTTACTCCCATATGCAGGACCTGTGGAATGCCCATATGCAGGACCCATGTTGCTACCGTGTGCAGGACCCATGTTGCCAGCATATGTCGGAACCGCTGCATTCCCATATTCAGGACCACTGTTGGTATTCCCATATGAAGGACCCACATTGTTCCCATATGCACTCGTGTTGCTCCTATATACCGGGCCTCCATTGCTCCCATATCCAGGGCCTGCGTTGCCAGAAGGCAACTGCTTGGGTCTTGAATATTCGGCAAATATAACCCAGCCATCCAAAAACTACAGAATATGGAGTATAATCAGAAATTGAATATGCAAACAATCAAGAAATAGTGATGATAATAATCAGCATTGTTATTGAAATGGATAAATTAATTGAATAATCAAAGGCATAATGATAAGATAATATCCAAATTTTTGCACAATTTTTTCTAATTTATCAAATCTGTTTTTTCCTTTCAATATTAGCTTGACATTTAGTTACAATTTTAGCCAATTAATTCAAGCGTGAAGTCTTTGATCTTTGAATTTATAAAAAAAATTACTTCTATTAAATAGGACATCAATGTATTCATTTATTTTTTCTTTTAAAACATATTCATGTTAGTTTTTTCAGTAATATAAATAAAAATTATGAAGAAAAAAAGAACAACAATAATTTATTTATCAGAATTGTAAGAAAATATAAACCATATTTTTTTGCCTATTAATGTAGCTAACTTGAGTTTTATATTTTATATTTCAAACAATACTCAATTAGGATAGATTTTTTTTTTCTTTTTTTTTTCCCTTTTTAAAGTTAGGATGCGCCTTGTATCCACCAGGCACATACCTGGCTGTGCACCTTATGCATTACACCCCAGGCTCCAGGACCCTTGCACCTTGGGCCTTTAAAAACACTATTCTCATGTCACTATTTATATTATTCTACATAAATAATTTAACTTGTTAATTAATCCTGTTCCTATATAATGGGAACAAAGTATAAGGATTGTACACTAATTTTGCTGATGGAATGAAAGAAAATCTACTCACCTTTCCATCCATTCCCTGTATAGCTTTTGCAGCATCTTCTATGGTAGCATATCTGACAAAACCAAACCCCTTGGAATATCCTGACACCCTATCAGTCACCACTTTAGCTATAAAAAGAAAGATGGAAAATGTTAGTAACTCATAGAGGCAATTTCTTAAACATTTAGGGAAAGGAAGCACAAACCATGAACCACTTCACCAAACTGGGAAAAGGATTCTTTTAGTTTCTCTGTAGTAGTTCTTTTGTTAAGCCCTGAAAACAGATTCAAAAATGTAATAGTTCAAAATCCAAAGCATTAACTAAGTTAAATAGATCATCCCAAATAAATAAACAATCTCAAAGAGCAATTTGTTAAAATTGCAAAAATTGTCATCAATATACAACTTGGGAGAAAAATACTTGACTTGATGATCTCTAATCACCAGGTCATGCAAAGAAACTCTATACGGCTCAAATTTAAAATTAAAAAAAAAAAAAAATCCATGCAACAGAAATCTTCTGAATCCTAATAGTACCTGTTGAGACAAATAGGTATGAAAATTAAAAAAAAAAAATGAAAAAAAAAAGCCCACTAATACAGGCCAGAGAAATACATCAGCATTTGAAGGACCCAAGCCAATCCATATAGTCAAAACCCACCAAGTTGTAAGTGTAGTCGAGATTATTTAAGTTCAAAGGACCAATTATAAAGGCCAGAAAAGAAACGAGCCTTTCTGCTCTTGAAAAGCAAAAAAATGTAATTGCGCTGACCAGTTCACTAGTTTGCAATTAACATCACATAAAGTAGTTACTTATGTCAAATTGTTTCAAACAAATTAATTCAATCAAACATATTCTTCAATATAATGTCAGTTTAATATTCACTCGTACAGGAATAATGACTTAAAGAAAAAATCTAGTTAATGGAAAAGTTTCACAGAGGTGCACAAGTTAAACTATTCTAGATATAGTATCTTGCTTCCCCTCTATTCTCAGCTTCTCATAATACCTCAGCATATCAAAGCAGTTAAATGTTCTAAGACTTGACATCACACTTTTCATGGATAGATGCAAAATTAACTTATACTTGGAACAATTATTTTCAAATTCAAAACAGAATTGTGCTGGTGTGTTGTTTCTCATTAAAACTATAAGCGAAAATGAATCACACCGTGTTACCCATATCCAAAATGAAATATCACTTACTAATAGACCTCTTGGGAGTTGGGGTGTAGCTAGTGTAGCTGGGTTGTTGAACTAATATAGGCATTCCTAACCTTGACTCCACTCCTACCATTCCCTAAATGGGAAAAAAGTAAAATGAAATCCGTTACAGATGTTTTGCTTAATTAAAGAGATAAAAAGAGGGGAAGAAAAAGGGTGAAGTCAGGCCGGAATGAAATCCACACCACGTGTTACCCATATACCAAAATGAAATATCACCTTACTTTAATAGACCTCTGGAGTTTGGTGTGTAGCTAGGTAGTGGGGGTTGGCTTGACTAATATAGGCATGTCCTACCTTGATCCACTCCTACCATTCCCTAAATGGAAAAAAGTAAAATGAAATCCGTTACAAGATGGTTTGCTTAATTAAAGAGATAAAAAAAGGGGAGAAAAAGGTGAAGTCAGCCGGGGGGGGGGGGGGGGGGGGCGGGTTTGTGGGGTGTGTTAAAAACAGACTCTGGAGTTTACTGGGGTTGTGTGTGTGTTAAACAAGACTCTGGAGGTTTACTCAGGCATGATGCCAACTTCAGATTAATACAAATTTTGCACTCAATTAAAAGGAAGTGTTTCATGCAATTCTAACGAAGTGTGAAAATTGCACACATGTTTACCAACTGTTACTTGAATTGTTCAGCAACCATAGATGCTAAACTCAGAAAATCCAAGTGTCAAACAACACTAAATTACATAGATTCTCAATACATTGTCAACATATCATGACTCAATTTAATAATGTTCAGTTTCTGCATAAGGAAGTGAATTGATCTATTCCATTTTAACATCATCAGAAGTCATTCATCATCTTAGATGTTCCTCCACAGAAAAGAGATGACATAAACTAACTAATAGTTTCAAAGTTTGATTTTGATTTCAAAATCTAAAGTAGATGTGTCAGTGCGTTGCGGCCAAAATCTAACTGTCACAGTTGATGCAATACTGAATTTTTCATTAACAAAAAAGTTCACGAATTGACTAATATAATATATACTCTATGTACCCTTACAATTCCTAATCAAAAAAAGCATCCATTAAGTAAATAAAAGCAATTCAAATGCAATTCATAATTGGTGATCATTGACAAAAGAGTGTTGTTGTGTTAATTTTAAATTGATCATATAACTAACATTTTGAAAAAATTGAAAATTAAAACCACTTAAATTGAATAAACTGATGATTATCGCATAAAGCCAACTAATATTTTTTGAATTTTTACATGGAAAATTTACAAAACCATGGAATCTTAATATTTATCAACCAAATAATATGAATGGATTTAATTAAAAAAGAAAAACAAGTTTTTGTATGACACTCAGACCTCTGAAAACATGCCTAACACGATTACCAAACTGGTTATTTATCAACATTCAAGGATCAAATGAAATTATTAAATTCCCAAAATCTTCCTTCCATTTATGCATCAAAAGACTTAACATCTTGTTATTTGGAACCGATGCCTATAAAACATACATCAGCCAGACAGGTATCAGTATTAAGTACTATATGAACAAATATTCAATATGCCTCAAAATTAATCCTACTGTTGAATTGAATCCAACAAAAATATCTCCAGGAGATGTCAAAAAAAAAATCCTTACGATATATTATCAGCACATGCACTACCATACTATGTCCTACTTCCATGACAGAAGTATCATTAATGTATTCAATATGACGGGAGTATGACATACCCTTTCTACATTAGGTAGGTTTTCGCAAATAAAATGGCAAACCCTTTTCAACACTCCATGTATCAACATCTTTTGCACATTTATTCAAAAAAAAAAAAAAAAAAAAAAAAAAAAAAAAATCTTTTGCACATTTATTTCAAAGAAAAAAAAAAAAAAAAAAAAAAAAAAAAAAAAAAAAAAAAAAACACTTGATTTCAAGTTTCTATCCTATTCACAGGTTGAAACAACCAAACCAACAAATTAACAACCATGATAGAAACCAGAAGAATACCCATCTACTGTATAATTGGGAAAATTACAAATCTTACCAGCATCTAAATAACAATCATACGCAGCCACACTATTAAAAATCAAAATAAAAAATTTTAAAAAAAATCCCAACAAACATATAAAAGAGACAAAAACTAAACAACACAGCAATCCTATTATAAGATTTTCAATAAAAATGAAAATCACATCTAATAAAGTTTATATATTTCCTATATTTTCAATAAAAAAAAAGGTAAAATCAAATTAAATAATCAATTAACATAATCGATCGACAAAAGTAAGAATAGAATAAAAAGAAAAAAAAAAAAAAAAAAAAAGAGAAAGAGAAGGGTAACGTACCAGAGACAAATAAATAAAAAGAAAAAAAAAAAAAAAGAGAAAGAGAAGGGTACGTACCAGAGACAAATAGCTGGCAGTTGGGCGGTGCCGTTTCTCGAGCAGAAGGCGTCTCTTTGGTCTGCGGAGGAATGAAGGACGAAAAGGAGCTTGTTGAGAACAGCCGCAGCAATCCGCGTGGAGCCGCCGCCGACAAAGCTGCCCGAGCTCTCATAGCCATGATGATGATGGTGATAGTGATGGATAGTCTCAAGGGTTTTAGCTAAAACCCCCAACCTTTCGAGCGACAGATACACCAAAACGAAGTATTTTCCTTTTCCTGCGCTGAGGACGCATTGTTCGACTGCGCTTGAAGCAATAAAAGAGAGTGCCGCATAATGGCCAATTACCAAATTACATTTGTAACCCCATAGGCCTGTCCTATATTACAGAACTGCCCCAAAACGAGTTAGGTTGAGCCGGACCGAGTTATGCATTAGCTAGTTCTTCTCATACTCATTTAATATACAATATTCTCCCAAAATTATAGTTTCAAATATTTTTTTACAGTTTAAGAATAATTTTTTAAATTAATTTAACTATAAATTTTTTTTATTTTTCATATATCTTAAAAGTGCTATATATTAATAATTCATTAAAACTTTCAAAATATGATGAATAGTCAGTATATCAAGATTTTAAAATTAATTAAGACTTTTTTTCACTATCTAATAAATTCAACTTATAATAATTATTTATACAGAATTATTGTATAAGGGTATTATGGAAACTTTAAAATATATATTTTTAAAAATATAAGTGGAATTATTATTTTGGGACAATTAAAAAGAAAACTGAAACTATAATCTTAGGATGGAGGAAGTGATAGTTTTAAACCAGAATTAAGAATTCAACAAAAATATTTTAATCTTAAGATGGAGCATGGAGCGGTAGCAATGAAATGGAACCTTGTTATCGCTGATAGCAAATCCAGTTCCAAGTTGGGAGCCGAAACCGATGATGGATGGCAGATTTTCATCGATGGCGCGACTTTCTCATTGCTGCAACTAGCTGGATATACAATGATACTTGAATCGACTGAAGGCCGTTTTATTCAAGCCATCTTAGACACTCTTGATAGTTATGAAGGCCCGGTGTTGGCAGAGGCGCTAGCTCTACGAGCATGTCTAGTTTGGATTTCTAATAATCATCTTTCAGCAGGTTGTGTTTTTACAGATTGTCAAAGTCTTTTTATATACTTTAAACTCTAACTCACGAGACTTTTCAAAGTTTGGAGTGGTTATTTTAGATTTTAGGCAAATTTTAAATTTCAAACCTAATATAGGGGTTAGATGGATTAGAAGACAAGTCAATATAGGATCTCATACGCTGGTAAAAGCGTTCTATTCTCATGCTAATCTTCAAGTGTGCGACAGTGTTTTACAAGTTTTGTTACATTTTTATGATTCATAATGCATTTCTAATATGCCTATTAAAATATATATATATATATATATATTTGTTACAGTTTTATGATTCATAATGCAGTTTCTAATATGCCTTATTAAAATATATAATATATATATATATTAGTAGTATATATATAAATGTATTTTAGTATACTATAATATATAATAAATTCATTAATTGATAATAGATTAAAAATTCCTTATATTGGAGGATTAATCAGATATTAATTTACTTCAATGTTTGAATTCATTAAAATAAATTTTGAGGTAATAAGGTTTATATATATAATTCATTAATTGATAATAATTAAAAATTCCTTATTGATTAATCAGAGTTATTTAACTCATGTTGAATTCATTAAATAAATTTGAGTAAATTAAGGTTTAAGATGTGTTAGAAAGATTTTTGAATAATCTTGATGAAAGATCAATAACACCTTATTTTATTTTTAAAGAAGAAAACTCCAAGTGTAATTTTGCCTAATTTTAGAGGGATTTTCGTAATTAGGCCTAAGTAGCACAGTTAAATGACAAGTTGGCCCTAATGTCAGTTGAGGCGTTAGATCTAGACGACACCATCTCTATGTATATCTTAGCCAATTTGCTTCAGCAGCTCTGATATAAGATTTTGCCTCTATTTGTGGAAATTTTATCCATTTTATTGTATTTTTATTTTATTATGTCATTATAAAATATAAATTTATTTATTAAAAAATAAATTAAAAGTTACAATTATAAGTTTAAATATACACATATTTTATTAAAATTAAAATTTTTAATTTTTAATAAAATATTATTAATCAATCCAAATCGTAAGAATCCAAGATCTAGAGGAGGCCTTTTTATAAATTTCGCTCGATATGATATTGAGGTTGGAAAAAAGAAAAGGGATTAGGAAAAAACGGTCGAGGTTGAAACGGATCAGGATAGGGTTAAGTCAAATTGACAAACCTTAAAACTTTAACCTAATAATAAAGGCGAAGGTCTTTAGATTTTAATCTCAAGTTTAAATCTTTTTCATATATTTTTAATCGATAAACCATATTATCCATTATTAGAAAGAGCACCTAGCGAATTCGAAAATTATAAATCACAGATCCAAAATAAGACCACTCAAGTGATGAATTTTGCAAATCTTGAATAGCCATTAAACAATCACTCTCTATCTGCAAAGAAACTTGGTAAACTTTCTCCTTCAGCCAGCTTAAAACTTCTCTGAATTTTCGTAGACCGTTAAGTTAGTGAGGCGTGCAAGCAGAGCCAAGAAAACCAACTCCACACATAAAATATGGCATTGTCACTCTCATGCAACTAATATAACTGCTAGTCTTTTTAGCAACTGCATTAAAATTGCCTATGTTTTATTTCTATGTCCCATCCCATCATTTGAACCCAATTTCAAACTTCATGATTTGAAGGAGGATGTCCCTTTTTCTGGACTATCGTAGACTTTTTGCAAGATAATGAGAAACACGAGCGATTCGAGGGAAACTTCCTATCCTTAAAATAAAATTTAATGTAATTAAATATATTTTTAAATTCAGATATTTTAAATATTGTTCGGTAAAGTTTTTCCACGGACAAAAACTTCAAATTTTAAATTCTTACCAAGATAAAATTTGCAAAATAATATAATAATTTACTTTTTTTATTCAATCACTTGTCTCATTATTTAAACTGAATTTTAAAAGTACTTTCTCTATCCATAAATATAAATTGTTTAGGACTTATTGAACATTGATTAAAGAAACAGCTAATCAAATATTTATAAATATTCTCAAAATTATTTATATTTATGAATAAGATAATTATCTTAAAACGACTTACATAGATGCTAATTTATAGTCGGAAATATAATAGGATAATGAAATTAATTATGGTTAGTACTCAAAAGTTAATCATCCGATATTTGAAGTCAACAGTTTCGACTTGATCTGAATTTTCGCCAAGTTGTATAGCTAAAACTCAAAATCTCTAATTAAGGGAGATCTTTATTATCCCATGTCACTCCTCAGAATCTCTAGTAATTTGATTTGACACACAATTTGCCAAATCCTCTAAATTGTACGTGTCATAATCTTGTTATATTATATGTATGATAATAAATAAATAAACATAAATTATAATTCTGTTGCATTTTGCCCTTGTGTCCAACTAGAACCGAAGTTGACGTGGATATTCATATTACCATTTGTCATGGTACAAGTTTGCTATCATCAAACGAAGTTATTACCCCGAAAAAGAGAAAAAGAAATCAACAAGCAAAGAGCTTCTGGCTGTTGCTTATCTTGTTTGTCATCACCCATTTTTATTTCTAGCCAGTCCCTCAATTTTCCTCACTTTGTTTATCCTTTTCATTATTTAATTAATTTGAGCCTAATAGATTCTCCTGTAATTTTCTCGATAATTATTGATTTATTGTTTATAAGATATAAATTAATCTCTTCCAATTTAAAATTTAAAGGTAATTTAAATTTATGATTACATAATTGCATCGATGTCAGCTATAAAAGTTTTTGTAAAGTTGGATAAAAACGTCATCTACAAATATCTCGGTACCACATACTAAATTATGAAATTACAAGTGAATAATATAGATAGACATGAAATATACATGATCATATATATTATTGTTTAAAACCTTACTCAACATCAAAGTGTCTATGCATCGTAACTATATTAGAAATACTTTGAATCAATCGGATTTTGAATTAACAAAAATTAGATATACCCTTATTATAAGAATTTTATTAAAATATTATTTTTTTCGATTATTAGTATGAGAAGGATTTTATTTGAATATCTAAAGTCTGACGGTAAGTAAATCATACTAAAAAAGGAAATAAAATTTTATTATTATTTTATTAAATAACGTGCAACTAAAGGGAGGCAAAGGCAGGGTGAGACGCAGCCTCCAAAGGCCACCCAAACCTACTCAAATAACACCTTCCATTGCAAGGGAAGGACACGTGTCTTGACCCCATTTTCTTCAATTACATATTCTTCATCTTTACAACTAAGTAACTAACATACGCATTCTCTTTCTCTTCTTTCTCTATCTCTCTCTCTCTCTCCATAGATATATAAATCGCACCTTACTTATCTAACAACAGTCCTCTTCACCTAATCATTTTTTTTTTTCAATAAAGCAGTCACCTATTAATTTTAATCAATCACCATTATGACAATTATCATTAGCTTAATCCTCTTCTTGTTAACCTCTCTTTTGGTGAACTCAGAATCCTCCATTAGCAGAGCTGATTTCCCCATTGGCTTCACCTTTGGAACTGCCTCTTCAGCTTATCAGGTTTTTTTTTTTTTTTTCCTTTTTTTAAAGTATATATGAAATGTAAAATAATTATTATTAATTTTATTTATTTATAGTTTGAAGGTGCTGCAAATGAAGGAAACAAAGGAGCTAGCATATGGGATACCTTTACAAGGCAACCAGGTAAAGAATTTCAAGCTACCATAAATGAGAATTTGATATGTTGAAGAAAGAACCTGTGCCATCAAAATTGGAAGAAAATAGTTAATTAATGTACTGTTTAAAACAGGAAGAATATTGGACTTTAGCAATGCAGATACAGCTGTTGATCAATATCACCGGTTTAAGGTAATAGATTCAGATATATATACTTGTTTATATGATAAATGTTACTTCTTCCACCTTCTTTCTTTCTTTCTCCTCTTCTTTTCATTTTTCTTTAGAATGGGTGTTTTTTTTTTTTTTTTTTTTTTTTTACTGTTAAAAACAGGAAGAAATATATGGACTTTAGCCAATGCAAGAATACAGAGCTGTTGATGCATATCACCGGTGTTTAAAGGTAATAGATTCAGATATAATATACTTGTTTTATAATGATAAAATGTTACTTCTTCCACCTTCTTTCTTTTCTTTCTCCTCTTACTTATCATTTTTTCTTTAGAATGGGTGTTTTCTTTTTTTTTTTTTTTTTTTTTTTTTCGCAAAAGCTACGAGTTAAGGTTTTTTTTGCATAGCTACGAGTAAGGTTAAAAAGGCTAACAAATGATGTTTTAAAATTCTTTGCCCAGGCCCGAGGTAGATTAGAAGATAAAAAAAACATTTTTTTGAACATTGAAATTCAATTTTTAATTTTTTTTTTTTATTAAGACTAATATCATTTCAGATCATGAGTTTTATGATAAATAATTTTAATTTTAAATTCGTCACTGATTCTTTCTTTTCTTTCTCAATTTTTTTTTTTTTTTTTTTTTTTTTTCAAAAGCTACGAGTTAAGGTTTTTTTTTTTGACATTAGCTACGAGTTAAGGTTAAAAGGCTAACAATGATGTTTTAAATTCTTTGCACAGGCGAGGTAGATAGAGATAAAAAAAACATTTTTTTGACATTGAAATTCAATTTTTAATTTTTTTTTTTTATTAAGACTAATATCATTTCAGATCATAGTTATGAATAAAACTAATTTTATTTTAAATTCGTCACTATTCTTGTCTTTTTCTTTCTCATGGATGAAATCTCTAATGTTATATGGATTTTCTTTATAGTCAGTGGCGGAATAAGAAAAATTAGTCAGAAAGCGAAAAAATTTTCAAAGTTTATGGGATAAAATTAAGAAAAAGTTCACTATTTTGTAGATATAACTGAAAAATTTTTATATTTTATGGGGCAAATGTTAGAAAAATTTTAAAATCATGGACTATCACTCACCACCCCTAATGTCTCCATTGTTTATAATATTATATAGTATAAATTATTATGCTATGGCAAGAGATTTGGGAAAGGACCCAATTGGATAAGAATCACTTATCAATTATATATCACATTATAAGCAGTAAGGATATTGAGATGAGAATGATGCGTCACCAACTCAAAACAGACAAAAAAAAGAAAAGAAAAATCACAATAAGCAAAGAAAATTAGCAGAGTCAATACAGCGTAATAGACGATTATCCAAACTAGACCTTTATATTAACTGAAAACAACTGTGTTAATATAAAATTTGACAGGGTGACATAGATTTGATGAAGGATTTAGGAATGGATGCCTATAGATTCTCAATATCTTGGCCAAGGATTTTTCCAAGTAAGTTACAATATTTAGTCACCCTTTTCCAGTTCTTGCAAAATTTTCTGGCCACAATTGTTTTAGAATTTTAATTTTTCCCTTAACAGATGGAACAGGGGAACCTAATCAAGAAGGAATAGATTACTACAACAGTCTTATAGATGCCTTAATAGAAAAAGGTTGCTCATTGGAAAAATTAATTCCTTTTGTTTTTAATTTTAAAAATAAAAATAGTATTAATTCAATCTTTTTAGTTGTACTTTTCAACCAGGAATCCAACCTTATGTGACTCTGTATCATTGGGACCTTCCACAAACTCTTGAAGATAAATATGAAGGATGGTTGAACAAACAAATAGTGTAAGTAATGCAAAATATGCACATTTAATTTTCAGAAAGCAGGGGGTTTTGTGCATTGAAGATGCTATTTTTGAATAAATGTTCTGGTTTACAGAAAGGACTTCGAATATTATACCTTCACTTGCTTCCAAGCTTTTGGAGATAGAGTAAAAAATTGGATAACCTTCAATGAACCTCATGGTTTCGCCATTCAAGGTTATGATACCGGTATTCAAGCTCCCGGAAGGTGCTCGATTCTCGGTCATTTGCTTTGTAAGACCGGAAATTCATCGGCTGAACCATATATTGTAGCTCACAATATCCTCTTGTCACATGCTGCTGCTTATCATTGCTATCAGTTGCATTTCAAGGTACCCTTATCTACATTAGGTTCTGACTGGAGTTTGTACTTTAGCATTGATGACCCAATTGATGGTAAACTACAATCCTATCAGATTGAAAAGGTCTAATAGAAAATGTTTTTTCCAGGCAACTCAACGAGGTCAAATTGGAATAGCATTAGATTCCAAGTGGTATGAACCAATATCTGAAGTAGGTGAGGATAAAGATGCAGCAAATAGAGCAATGGATTTTGCAATTGGATGGTAAATATATTTTCACCTTATAAAAATTCATGAAGATTCAAATTTCATTCTCTAACTTTTTCAATTTATAACATACTAAAATGTTGAATCAGGTTCCTCGATCCACTTTTCTTTGGAAAATATCCTGCTTCAATGGAAAAGCTTGTCGGGGAAAGACTCCCTGAGATCACTTCAAAAATGTCAAAACTGTTATCAGGATCATTAGACTTCGTTGGACTTAATCATTACACGACATTGTATGTTCGAAACGACAGGACTCGTATTAGGAAACTAATACTACAGGATGCTTCTTCTGATGCTGGTGTAATCACAACATGTAAGATTGCTAAAACGTAACTTACAAAACATATCAAAAATATTATTTGCTGAATTATTAATCTTTTATGCTTGTTCTTAACTGTAGCTTATCGACGTGGAGTTGCAATCGGAGAACGAGTATGTCTCAACCACTTCAGGATTTTGTTATAGATTTCAATTAAAGTCAGCTCATAATTAAGTACTAGCTTCCTCCTCCAGGCAGCTTCCCGGTGGCTGCACATTGTCCCGTGGGGAATTCGAAAATTGGTTAATTATGTGAAAGATAAGTACAGGAATCCACCGGTTATTATAACAGAAAATGGTAAGCATTTCAGGTTCTAAGAAGTCACAAATCTCAGCTTTTATAGGGTTCATACACATTAGTTCATACTGTATCAAATTTAGCAATTTCAGTCTTTATACTGTCAACAGGAAATTACACTATAACCCTTACATAAGTTTAACTTAAGAATTTCAGGTATGGATGATCCAAACACACCATTTATGTCTTTAAACAAGGCCTTACAGGATGATAAGAGAATAGAATACCATAGAGACTACCTGTCAAACCTGTCTGCAGCCATAAGGTAATGACAACAACAAAACTGTGCAGTGAAGGTTCCTATACAGAGCAATTTTCAGTTTCCTAACAGAAAACTTAACCTGATACAGGCAAGATGAATGTGATGTTCGAGGTTATTTTGTGTGGTCTGTGCTCGATAATTGGGAATGGAACTCAGGCTACACCGTCCGATTCGGACTTTACTATGTTGACTACAGGAATAATCTTACAAGAATACCAAAAGCTTCTGCTCATTGGTTTAAAAGTATACTCAGATTAAACAGTGATATGTAAGGTCAATTTCCAACTTTCAAGTGCATATAGGTGTTGTAAGTTACGTATCATTAACCACAACTAAGCCTTAATCCCCCGTTAGTCGGGATCGGCTATAAGAATCATTTACTTCCATTCTTCTCATACGTTCATAGCTAAGTTTGCAATGATGTAAATTATTTGTAATGTATATAAATATTAATTAGTATTAAGGAGCAAAGAAAAAAAATTGTAACATGCATAGAAAATTGGAAAGGAAATTGAAGAAGAAATGAGACAAATACCATTGATTGCTTTGTTTCTGTTCTTGTAGCAATCCAGATTTCTTTTCTTTTATTTTCCTATCTATTTTAAGCAATATATTGAGTATTAACAACCTATTAAACCTAAATATCTAATATTATAAAGCAAATTCTAATCAAAAGCAAAGAAATCAAAAGTGAAGACTTTATTTATATAGTGGATTATGCATAATCAGTTGCTATGTTCCACTTGGATGGTGTATAATTAGGCAAAAAATAGTAAAATTATTGTTTCGATCATTGATGGTTTAAGTGTATTTTAATATTTGAAATTTTACATCACTCTTCTATCCTTTCTTAAAATAAATCACATATTATACATAGATAGACGTTGATGTTGATTAAATTGGTGTTCTAAATTTGATCATATGCTAATAAAGTTAGATGGGTTCAGCAGGGCGGTGAAATGCTTGTATGAATTTCCAATGTATGGAAATGATGTTGGATGAGTTAGCAAGTAACAAACTCAACTGCAGAGAAAATTAAATGTCGAGAAAGTAAGACATTTTAAATTAATAACGCGTGTTATTACAATATTGCTACTTCTCTGGGAAGCTTTCATCATCATCTAAACACGATAATTCACTTTTTCTATAATACTTTCATAGAATTCTACTTTCCTAGAAAAGTAATTTTCCATAGGAAAATTGAATTCCAGTAACCAACACCTTTAAGTATTCTCTTCAAAGATTTTAAGCAGCATATCTAAAATAGATCATTTAAGCTTAAAAAACATATTTATAGAAAGCTAACCGCTCTTTTGATTAAGGATAAGCTACTATAGTAATATGGCATCACTAGAAGTCTTCAATCTATATATTCGGCAAATCACAGTTTGGCTTCCAATGCATGAACGCTAACCTCTCTTCAGCACCACAACAGCGATGACCATTACTGCCAATGCCATGAAGGATGCTCCCAGAGTCTTGTCAAAGAAAGTTGGTTGAGAATCTTCGTCAGCAGCGGAAGAAGTGTTCTCTGCAGTTGCAAATCCAAAAATTTGCTGTATCATTGAAGAGACACTGTTCACCATCTCAGCCACAGTCTGCTTGATGTTCTCAAATATATCAATGGGCTTGTTTTCAGACTTTTCAGTTTCACTTGAATCATCAGATAACTCAGTAAAAGCTCTAGGAGACCCGGGATCCTGTAACTCAGCATCTGCACCAGATTGTGTTGGATTCAGGCAGATAGTGAGTAATCAGAGTCGGATAACAGAAAAATGCGGAAAAAAAAAATAAAAAGACGCATTTAGTGGTTCAAAAAGTAGTTTTAGCAATTCTTACTGGTCTTCTGGGACTGGAGGAATTCCTGAAGAGCCACATTTTTCCAAACAGCATCCCAGACATTTGGATCTGAAGCAATTGAAGCAACAACAGTCTGCACACAAAACAAAGATCAGTGATTATAGCCCCTAAACAGATTTTATAGTTTGATAGTATCTCATGTAGAACATGGCATCACTTAAAAAAATAATCCAGCATAAAAATTACGGCCCTCCCTCCAAGAATTCACACGAAAGGGCTCAGGAACAAATCGGAGTAGCAATTAAATCTTCTACATGTTTTGTTCGCAAAAAATTGGATTTTTAGGGAGATATTAGTATAAACAGTCTCTCAAGCCTACATATCAAAGTATCCAGCAAACTGAAAAAATATAACGATCAGTGACTGCATTATCATAAATAAACTCATCAAAACTACCAACCCACATGATATAGTAATCTATCTTGTTTGGCAATTAACATAAGATAGTCCTAACATCAGGAAGAAAACAACTCCCCAAGGGGGAAACATTTATCAGCACCTGTGCTTCAGGACTTTCATTGAGCAATTTAAACGCTGTTACAGCACATTTTGGAGCAGAATTTGCTCTCAGATCATCAGCGATGCAGCGTTTAGTATCCAAATCATCAGAGTTTGTAACCAAACTTAGGCCAGACAGACGACTACTTCCGAATGAACCACCAGCTCCTGAGTGAGCAGGTGATGACAGATAAACTCTGAAAAAGCCACGTTGATCTCAGCAACAAAGTCATTAACAATAAACAAATAAATGAATAAAAGCCACGGTAAACATAAACAACAGCATAAAAATCAAAGTTATCAAACCTTCCACATATAAACCACTCAACTATAATATAGACATATTCCAAAGGCCTTTAGAGTATGCATCTATATTCCATGATACAAAGGAGTATACAGGGGTAACAGTAAATCATCCCAAATGAGGATTTCCACTTGAGATGATAGAGTCAGGTATTGAAGCGCTTTTAGAAGCGTCCTAAATGGATGCTAAAAGACAATGGCTTTTTGTCAATGCGTGGCATGAAATTTCAGGTGGCCATTCTGTTTGATTACAGATAGCTTAAACATTACTTTTTCAATTCAGCTTGAAGGTACTAATATTAAAAAGTGGCAGTTCTTTGTTCCAAAAGAATGGCAGTTTAATTGGATGCATCACAAAAGATGTTGAGGAAACTTATCAAACTATGCCATAGAAGATGTAAATTTTTTTTTTTTTAATAATGTGATCTGAATTAGGCCAAAAATTACGATACATTAATGCAAACAATAACAATTGCTTTGATCATGGGAATATAGAACAAGAAAGGCAAACAAATCCAGCTACACAATGACTAGATAAACAGACAAAATATTAACAAGAAACTGTATGGAAGAATTCCAAGAAAGCATATGAACTTCTTAATCAATACACAAACGTTTCTATAAGAAACTTAGATCAGAGAATTATAGAGTAACGAATCATATCATACCAAGAAAAAATTCTAAATAGAAGTGAACAGAAAATAATCATATCATATTAATTGATTAAAAAGATGAAGACTTCGTTTTATACTTTTCCAGAGCATCCTTCAAATCAGCAGTTGCCGCTTTCGCCTCATTCAGACTCGGCGGGGCTCCGAATACAACTCTTGGCATCGGCTCACTGGATTCAATCAACAGTTCCTCCTCGCCACCAGCCAATTCCCAATCTTCCAGCTCCCACGCGGGCTTCTGGACTCCGGAAAGTTCAAAGCCGCCTTCGATCCTGCCCTGCGAAGAAGATATAATCGCCGATACAGGCCGTGAAACATTGCGCACAGACTGTTCAGCTGGAGATGGTACAGCGGAGAACCCGCCTCGGATGCCGCTACTGACGACGCCGATACCGGCGACCTTGGCTGCGGCTCTCACGGCTGCTCCTCCACCCATGGCGATAATTAGGATAACCGACAAAGAAGAAAAGAAAATCTAAGGTTTTATTTGGCGAAGCAATTGCGGACTGAATGAACCGAGAGTTTGAGATAAAGATTTGAAGATGGCGTCATTTTGAAGATTTATATGTACAGTCAATTTTCCTTCTTGTTTTTTTAAGATTATCCATTTTTCTATGAAATAAATATTCATTTTCCTCAGAATTTTTAGAATTAATTTTAAAATTTTTTGTAGCCTTATTAAATTAAAATATATATAAATGAAAAAATTAATATAAATAATCTAGCTATAAAATATTAAAAACCTATTTTTAAAACAATATAGTGAATTAGTGATATTTTCTAGTATAGGTATTACCTAATATAGATATTACCGACTGAATTAGTTTTAACAAAATCAATTTGCAATTTCTATTAAAAGTATTTATTAAAAAATAGCATTAAATAATTATTCACACAGCTCCTTGAGCCACTGAAAACAGCCAAGAACATGGGAGAACAAGACTATTCACTTCAAAGATTATAAAGCAGCATTTCTAAAAATATTATTTAAGTTGAAAAAACTTATTGCTATTACACAGAAGCACATATAGCCTATCAAACAGCATATTCAAAGACATACATGCCACAACCAAGTGCTACTGTTTATATCACTCTATAGGATTCTTGAATCTGTGTATTCGGCAAATTATTGTCTGAATTCCGATGCACGAACTCTTAGGTTTAACCCCTCTTCATCACCACAACCATGATGACCATCACCACCAATGCCATGATAGGAGCTCCCAGAGTCTTCTCACAGAATGTTGGTCCACAATCTCCACCAGCAGCTGAAGAAATGTCCTCAGCATTTGAAAATCCAAAAATATGTTGCATAATAGAAGAGACATTGTTCACCGTCTCAGTCCCGGTTTGCTTCATGCTCTCAAATATATCAACGGGCCTGTTCTAAGACTTTATAGTTTCACTTGCATCATTAGACAACTCAGGGACCTCCTGTAACTCGACATCTGCACCAAATTGTGTTAGATTCTGATGAATAAATAAAAAGATGCATTGTTGGTTCAAAGAGTAGTAGGAGCCATTCTTACTGGTCTTTCGAGACTTTATGAACTTCTGAACTGCCACATTATTCCGAAAAGCATCCCAGAGTTTTGGATCTGAAACAAGAAAGGCAACAACAGACTGGGCACAAACAAAGATCAGTAGATACAGTCCCTAAACAGATTTCATAATTTGATAGCTAATATCTGATGTAGAACATAACATTATTAAAAAAATGCGGCATAAAAAAGTTACTCTTATGGCTTTTACTTTTGAGATGATGCATTCGACAAATATTTTCTAAGAAAAAACTGGATTATTTGAAATGAAATGACAATTCTATTCAAGCACAAGGAAAAGAAATTTATCAGAACCTGTGCGTCAGAACTTTCATTGAGGAATACAATCGCTGCCATTGCGTGCGTTTCACCACTTCCAATACCAAATGAACCACCAGATTCAGTTTTAGCACGAGGTGACAGAGACAGATAAACTCTGTGAAAACCATGTTTATATCAGCTATAAAGTCACTAACAATCCATAAATGAATGAAGATAAGCAGGCTAAAGATAATTTAACAGCTTAAAATCCAAAATTATCAAATCTTCTATGATATGAGGGTGTATATAAGCTTACAATAAATCTTTCCAAATGAGTATTTCCACTTCCATTCAAATGTAAAGATCAGATGATAGATGCAGGTATTTACGTGTGTTTAGAAGCTTCACAAATGGATGCTAAAAGACAAGTATATCTATATATGTATGTACACACGCAATTGATTAAAAAGAACGGGACTTTGTTCTATACTTTTCTAGAGCATCCTTCGAATCACTAGTGGCCGCTTCCGCCTCTTTTAGACTTGGCGGAGGCGCGAACACAACCATTGGCATCGGCCTCGAAATATTGAGCACAGACTGTTCGCTTTCATGGCTGCTCCTCCACCCATAACTATAATTACGACAACCAACAAATAAGAAACGAAATTTAGATTTTATTTGGCGAAGCAATTTCACTTCTTGATTGAATGATTCATTCGCAAGTTTGGGAATTTATAGGCTTCCAATATTATAATCCTTCATCTTATTTGTTTATGGAGATAATTAAGATACGGCGCTTTTGGAATGCGTCATTTGGAAGGTAACTGTACAGTCTAGCCATTATTATTCGTCATTAGTACATTGCAACCATTAGTTAATTAAGAAACTCAAAAATTTTACAAACGAAACCATTAATTTCCACCTAGCCCATCTTTAAGCCTCTGGCAATCAACCAAGTAAGCAAATCCATAAGCCATATTCTTCAAAGTCGCCTCATGCAATTCCAAATCCGATGTAGCAGTTGCATCCGTTGAAAAGAACACTCGGAACCCTCTCACAAACGCCTCTCGCGCCGTCGTTTCACAGCACAAATTAGTCATAACTCCGCTCACTATGACCTCCTTCACTCCCATACCCAACAACCGCTCTTGTAGCCGCGAATTGCAAAACGCGCTGTACGTATTTTTCTCCAATACCTCATCCTTTCCAGCCAACCTTTGAATTTCCGGCATGAGCTGCGAATCAACGGTTCCATCTATAATGAGGTCATTATTCCACCACTCTCCAAGCATGCCGTAGTCATCAGGAGATTTATGGCAGTGGCGGGTGAAGATGACAGGGATGGAGGAGCGCCTACAGAGATCGATGGTGGAGAGAAGGTTAGGGAGGATCGGCTTGACCATGGATGAAAAGTAGTTCTGCACATCAATTACTAGAAGAACACAGGTCTTGGGGTCCGGAATTCTCTTTCTGATCTCAAATTTCTTGTATGATGAGCATCTTAGCGAAGTCGCCATTGGAAGCTTTAAGCTAAGAGAAACAAAAGAATTGAAAACCCCCAATTAAATATAAAATCTAATCAACATTTATTGGGTTTATAATCCAGAAAAGCAATGATTAATATACATAATTTCAAATTAGAATACTTTTACCTTGATAATGAGCCAAGAACTCTTTGTTAGGTGCACGGCTACTTAAATTGTGAAATGGATGAGCCAGTCGAGAACTAACTCTCATGAATAAGAAATAGAAGGTTGAGTAGTTGTTTCTGGGGCTTTCTGTTTGACTGTAATGATTTCAAGTTACTAATGTACCCCCGACCTTGTAAAATGTTATCAAAAGAAAAAATTTACGAGGTAGTAAAACTTTTGGGAAGAGAGCATTATTTTGGCTTTAACCGTAAGGGTTGAATTTGTAATTACGCATTTATTCACTTGTATGTAGACGTGCCGTTGCTCCAGTTGCCCCTAAAGCTGGCCCGTGGTCAGGTTCTTCTAGAGTCTTCATCTGTTCTTAAATTTGAAACCACACGCCAATCTTCGCAAGGATTGCGAGGGAGAGGGAGGGGTTCGACGTTGAGTGGAAATAGAAGAGAGAATCCATGTCGTACTTGCTACCGCACTTGCACTCAGGATGGGCCGTGGATCAGGCGATTCTTGCCGAAGAAGAACGGGTTGTCATCATCCGGTTCGGCCATGACTGGGACGAAACCTGCATGCAGGTAATCCCTCTTGCTTCATCTTCGATGGATAGATTGTGGATGTGATGATGACAGAATTGATTGAAATATTCCATGAGCAGAATTAGTAAGTTTGGATATTTGGCGTTTGTTATGGTTTCTAATTTCTTTCTTTTTGGTTCTATGGCTTTGTAATTTAAACTTGTAGGTTTGCGCTTAAATCATGCCCGTCCTTTAAGGTATTTATTGATCAGGAAGACTATATTTGATTTTGCTTAAGAAAGTTCAGATCTTTTTATCTGGGTATATTTTTAATTATTATTGTTAATGCAGAATTGTCTCAGGAAGCCCAAATTGGGAAATGCAGAAAGGTACATATTGGATATTATAACAGATAACATTCCTGCTATTAGCTTAATTGGAAATTGAATTTAAATTGGAAAATTTAGGAGTTATAGTGTATCCCTAATTATACTTTGGAAAATTTAACACTAAAGTATAAATTGCTTGTAAATGTCCTCTGATATTTGAAAAATGGTTTTTCATAAGACGAGAATATCTGTATGTTTATATATCTATATATATAGTTGAAGAGTTTTAATTATAATCTGTATGCTAGCCAAGTTATCAGTCTGTTCTTAGTTTCTTTCTGAGTTGAAACAAGGTTGTGATTGAAGGGCACGTTTGATATGAACGAATTATTGTGGAATTCATTTGTATTTTCATGCTAACTATGAAATATAATGTTTTGTGCACACCCATTAATTCAAATTTATGGAATTTAAAATGATTAAACCAGATTTCACAATTTACAAATGAATTTTATAATTTAAATTCATTTATATAGTAAATAGAGACTGTAATGTTCAGAAATGAAATTAAGTATTACATGTTTACATGTTCATAGACTGATCATTATTAATAATGTCACAGTTCTTAAACTTCCTGTAATTTGGTTTGGGATTTAACTTTTTTTTATGTGATTGGATGCTAGTTATTTTGGTTTGTGTTATTTTCCCTGCTGAATTGCTAGTATATATGAAGATAATTGAGGGTCATGCAGAACATGAAGAAAATCTAATTCCCTAAAAAATGTAATTGTAGTATTAAAATTCTTTGATTTGCTCAAAAATGTCTAGCATGCTTGAACTTTTATCTTACTTAATACATCTTTGATTCCATTTCTGAATGTGAGACTAACCGGGATGACTGCCGAAAACAAGAATTTAAACCATTAAAAATGTTCTTTACCAAACACTATATTGTTGATTACCGAGTTTTGAGCATTGTGATTTATCTTTCAAGTGATGTTTTAATTTAGACCAGTTTGTGGAGGCAGTTGCATGATCGATCTGCTATGTTTTCCCTATTAATTTATTTAATTTGTTAATGTTACCTCCTTTCAGATGGATGAAGTTCTGGCATCTGTTGCTGAGAAAATAAAGAATTTTGCTGTCATTTACCTTGTGGACATCACAGAGGTGGCAGATTTTAACACAATGTATGAATTGTACGATCCGTCCACAGTCATGTTCTTCTTTAGGAACAAGCATATTATGATTGATCTTGGAACTGGAAACAACAACAAGATCAACTGGGCTCTTAAGGATAAGCAAGAGTTCATCGACATTGTTGAAACTGTCTACCGTGGGGCAAGGAAGGGTCGAGGCTTAGTTATCGCTCCAAAAGATTACTCCACCAAGTACCGCTACTAATGTTTGTTAGAAAATTGTTTTGGAGACAATTATGTTTCTGTAGACTGTAGGTCTTGAGTTGATTGGGATGTGCTCTTCAATCTGCATACTTAGACAAGGTATTCGACTTCGACATTTATTTGAGAGTTGAAATAGTGTTTGTTGTTGTATTTCCTTGCAAGGTCAAATTACTTTTGGAATCTGCAATTGATGATTATAACTATTAAAATGATATTTTATGTACCTTCAGAAAAAGATTAGAGAGAAGCATGTCTAATGCCTCCATTGTTGGGGAATATATGCCTTTTGGCTTATAAATGATCAATTCCCACTTGCTTTCACTTTAGTCACCTGCTCAAGTTTTTCATGGTCTTATTGCTCAAAGCCCAACATAGGATTAGATAGAAACCTGTGTATGCTTATCTTACTTGATCGAAAAAATTAATTCTAATTTTTGGATTTTCTTCTCTCAAATTAAAGAAATTAAGACATAAATAGGAGGTCCAATGGTGATTATTAATTTTTATATCATTTGATTATATTTATATTTACTTAAAACGATAAATCAAAATTTTAACAAAAAATTTATACTAAATAAAATAAATTGATAGAATTGTTTTTTAGTAATAAATTGATAGAAACTTAAATAATCTTATAATTAAAAATTTTAATCAGTGCACCTAAAGTATGTACTAATATATTATATATTAAAACACACAAATATAGATATACCTCCGAATGCATGTATATTTAAGCGCATCTCCAATGCGACTATTGTTTATTTAATATGTGAGTCTGATGTGTCAAAAAAAAAGAGACATTATTTATCACTCTCTCTATTTTCAGAGGATTTGTTAGACATCGTGACTCAACTTTTTTTTTTCTATTTATTCATTTTTTTTTTCTTAATTTTTTTTATATTCCTTAGTACTTTCTCTTTTATTTGTACTCAAACTTTTTGTTACGCTGAAACTGATTTCTTTTTTGTTCATTAGAGAACTATTTTTAAAATCTAACATCTACAAATACGCATTTAGTCATATCACTATTCACAACTTATATTTATTAAAACACATCAGCCATAATCTATAGTTGCATTAGAGATGCTCCAATTACTAGATTCTTACAAATTAGGGGCAAAGGTAATCAATTTATTGCCACTCATATATATTTTAGAAGTACTCCTTTAATTAGTTGTTTTAGCAACTGTTAGTTGTTCTATAAGTGCGGTCTTTAATTAGCATTTCATCAAATAATAAAGGGACGTTTCGTAACATGCTCCCTCAAATTTTAAACATAGCAATTCATCAAGAATTAAAGCGAAATTTTCTAATTTACTCGCTCAAACTCTAAACAGTAGTATAAAAGATTCATTACTAAATACTCTAAATAATAAAAGTAGCATATTGACTTAGTCAAAACACCAAAAGCTATATCAAAATATGTGCCATTCAAAATACAAGAAGTGCAATAAGAGCTAGAGAAGGCAACACATTTTCAGCCAATTTGTGAGATACAAACGAATAATATAAAAGTTGTTGAAGTGATAAAATACGTTTAAACATAGCGGATCGATCATGTAAAATTAAAATTCTATCCATAAAAAAGTACTTACAAAGAGGAATCACTATATGCATATGGTATTTGGAATAGAAATTCAAATAAAAAAAAAATAGTAATTTTCAAAAAAGATGAATTGTAATCCTAATAACATAATAATTATTCCTATAATCACAACCTAACAATCAAGCCAAACTAAAAAAGTTGAATAAAGAGTTAAAAAAAATCTTGTATGTTTCAACACTAATGGCAAAGGCCAAATAGATTAAGACAATGATCCATTTGATTTCTCTTTTTATACAGTATTATATATTAATAATTGACACCCTTCTAGTTGGCTATGATCATTCAATATAGCCATAGGAAAATGACCTTTCGCGAAACAATAAATGTGAAAGGACAAAGCAAACAGCCAAACTCAGATTCCCAATTGGAAAAAGAAGGGGAAAAAAAAAAAAAAGATTACAACTTTTATTTTTCATTGAATTTAATTAATTATATATAACATTAATTTTTTCAACTTAAAAATATTAAATTAAATAGTTAATCAAAACATTGAAGAAGCAAATACAATTTTATTTTTCTCCTAAAAATTAAAATTTAGGGCATGTTTGTGTATAAATAAATAAACATCTCGTAGTCTCATAGCCAAATTAGGGTAAATGGACAGTAGCAGACTAGCAGTAGCAGAAAAAAAGTCTATGATAATGCCAAGGAAAGTAGGAAAACAAAAAAACAAAGTGCAACCACCACCAGCTGATTAACGAAACCCTTATTTACTTATGGGCCCACTTAACACAATAACAACAAACGCCCTGGCCCCACTAGTTCAATGGGATGGCCCACAAATTCCCGCGTTAAATAAAGTGATTTTTCACTATATTTATAATGTAAAGATTACAAATTGTATTAATAATGTAAATAGGTTGATTGACATTTTTGTCTTCTATTCGAATCATGTTTTGACTTTAGAGTATGGTTACTTTACTGATAAACCGTAATGAAATATAATATTTTGTCTTCTATTCGAATCATGTTTGACTTTAGAGTAATGTTACTTCTACATGATAAACCGTAATGAATATAATATATATATATAATATATATATATATTTATTTATTTATTTATAGTGGAATTTCGAAATTATAAGTGTATATATTATATTATATAAATAATATATATATATATATTTATTTATTTATTTATAGTGGAATTTCGAAATTATAAGTGTATATAATTATATTATATTATAATACATTGCAGTTAATTAAACCGTGCTAAAAGCTAAGAAAAAAAAAAGGAAAAGTTTGTCTCCTAAATAACATATAAAATGGCACTAATTGTATTTTTTTTTCTTAGAAAAATAATTCTTGGAACGAAGTTGAGCAGAATAACCCCACACACACACACACACACACACAAAAATTGACAATATATTGTCAATTTCTCAAAAACAAGAAACATATATTATCAATTAACATTTTGTTAAATTATTTTTAAAACTGTAAATTACAAATTCAAGCCACATCAATACAAGAATGACAATATTTAAATTTTAATTGTCATATACAAATAATTTAATTATGAGTAAGTTGTTATCTAATATAGGAGACTTAAAATTTTAAATTATAACACTCTTCCTCTAAAAAATTACAAATTATGAAAAACAATATTGTTTCCCTAATTTACACCCTTCAGATTTAAATAAAATAATTAACTAAAAATCTATAAGTTCTATAAATTATTATGGATGTAATGGCTATATATGAATAATTATATGGATCCTTTCTTTGTTTTTTTCCCTTTCTTGAACTAAAAACTATGTTTATAGAGTAAAAGATTATTCTAGATAGAATGATTTAGTCTAAGTGATTTGATACTTTGCTTTGGTTCTTAAGCAAACTTTCTCACTCTAAAATGACTAAAAACAGAAGAAAATGGACAAGAGCTACAGGATTAAAATGACTAATTTACTTAGAACAAAAAAGATTGGAGAATTTCACATTCTTTACAATTCCTAACAAACCCTCTAAAGCTAAGAACCCTATAGAACTATGATTAGAAATATAAAACAAAAAAGAAAATTTAAAAAAGAAAAAAGAAAAACTCAGTCCACAATTAGTCCATTACCATCATTACCACATAACATTATATGGAGAAAAAGAAAAAAAAAAGAGACAAATTTGAAACAGGGAAGCATCTTTTTTTCTATCTCAAAGCCTCAAATCCTTTCTCTTTCCTCACTCCTTTCTTCTCCAATCCACCTGCACAATCACATGATTACCAATTAAGCCAAGCCATTAAAAATTAAGCAAAAATAGATAATGCTGTAATTCTTTTTAAATTCATGGAGAGACCCTAATGTTGTAGCAAAAATTCTTATGATTAGCTACCCAATAAGGTAAATAGTGATCACCGTATTGGTAAAAAGACTCGTCAGAACACACTTTGATCACAATTTTATTATTATAACACGATGCTCTAGTTAAAATAAAAATGACATGGGAAACTTAATTTTCTTGGAATGGTTAATTTGGGTTTTTAAAGAATTTTCTTGAGAAAGAGACAAAATAAAACAAAGAAACAAAAGAAAGAGAAAGAGAGAGGAAACAGACTCTGCAATCAGTTTCTGAAACATAACAACAGCTATTGAATGTTACTGGAAATTGTCTGTCAGCCTATTATACGTTAAAAATCTAAAACTGTTTCGTGACCTGAAACTCATAACAGAAATCTAAGTGCAAACAACAGAAACTGCCTAAAATTAACTATACATTTCCACTCACAACTTACCCACAAACAAAAGATAAACCCTATTAAAGAACTCAAATTTTACCCGAACCATCAAAGATTAATGCATTTCTCTCTTTTACACTTGATTTCAGTCTGATCAAAAAGCAGTCCACGACATTCATAAAGAGACAATGTTAATTGGGCTGTTAATTATCAAAGTTAAACTCTCTTTTCGTGATTCAAATATGAGTTCCAGCCTTAATCAGAGCCTAATTAACAAAATTAAGACAAAAAAACGAAAACCCATGAAAGAAAAAGAAAAAAGAATGTAAAAAGCTACCTTGAGGCTTGCAATCAGGAGGTTCCTCAAAGAGAGATAAAGAAAATTGCTTATGAGCAACACCAATGTCAAAGAGAATAAGGCCTGATTTTGGATCATCAACTATAATATCTTTAACAGGTAACCAAAGAAAGAGTTCTTCTTGAGACAAACCAACAACTCCTGATAAACTACGGTAGGTGAGATTAGCTCTCACTACACTATCAAAGAAAACTCTATTCTCAAACTTTGTCAAACAAGGCCCGTCAAGAAATACCTCTAAGTAGCCATTTTCCGATAGAGTGAAAGATTTCACTTCTTTGGGAAGAAGACCAGCTGGTAACCCTTTTGAGATGAGGAGGTCATGAATGGAAGAGGATACAGAAAGAGGTATAAGAAAAAAGATCAACAAACTTAGTTTGCAAAAAAAGTGTTTTATTTTCTTGTTAAAGTTGGCCATGGTTTTTGTTTGGTTAGTGAGAAAGAAAAAAAGAGAGAGAGAAGAGAGGTTTAAGAGATGGAAAGTAGAAAGACTGTTTTAAAAAGGAGAGTTCGGGATCTAATGTAAGAATTTACTAAATTGCCCAATCGGTTGTTGGTGGCTGGGGCCAAAGGGGCTTTTGTTTTTTGTTTTTTAGGTATTTATTATTTTTGTAATGTATCACCTAATGAAATAATATTTAGGGTTTATTTTTATGTAATTTGGGTTTAGTTTATAATTTAATTATTATTTATTTTATTTATAGAGAGATTAGGAGTGATTTGGTGCCTTGCTTCATGTTTTTATTAGATTGTTTAGTAAGGTCTATAACTCCTTAAGCAATATATGTACCTTGGAATAATTTTGCATCATTGTTGAGAGCAACGTGTAGATAGCCTTCCACTAACAAATAAAATCATTAAATGTTTTTTTTTAAATAAATTATTTGAGAGGAAAAATTTTGGGATAAGATTTTTTTGTTGGAATTAAAGATATTAAAATTTTTTTTGTTAAATTTTAAAAAAATAAACTAAAGTTTATATTTAAATTGATATATATGATTTTTGCATAGGATAGAGATAAATTTTAGTTTGAAATAATCTTTTTGAAAAATAGAAAACTTGAACTTAAATTTAAATGGATAAATTAGTTGGTCATTTAAAAAAAAAAAAAAAGGGAAACTTAAATTTTAAATGGAATAATTAGTTTGGTCAATTTAAAAAAAAAAAAAAAAGGATGAACAAGATTTAAATCCTTTAATTAAAGATATTTTAAGAAAAAGATTGATGTTTTTAATGTATTTTTTATTTTAATATCAACAGAAAATAAAAACATTTAAAAAAAAAAAAAAAGGATGACAAGATTAAATCCTTTAATTAAGATATTTTAAGAAAAAGATTGATGTTTTTAATGTATTTTTTTTATTTTAATATCAACAACTATAAAACTTAGATGGTCTATGATCAAAACTAAGACGTTTAGCAACAGCTTTTTAGGTAATTAAAATGCTAAACAGCTATCAAAATAATTAATTTTACCCGATATATCTAAATCTCGTTAGATCCGTCCTTCCAAGATAGCAAGAGTTAATAGATATTTTTTTCAAATTATATATATATATATAAATATAAAACGTGAAAAATAGTAGTATGATGACAATATCTACAAATTGGCTTTCCCATTATCACAAGCAAAGTTTCAATAATTTCTCCAAGAAATTGGGTCCCTCTCCATCCTAATAATAATAATAACTCCTTAAGGAAAAAAAAAAAAAGGAAAAGAAAAAGAGATGGGTCCCCCACCAAATTAATGGAAACAAATCAATACCAATCAATCTTACATCTTTATTTCTCAGTATACCCAATTGGAAAACCTAAATCTCAATAAAGTTATGCATAAGGTTAATATATTTACCATTTCTTTCTCTATTTTTATTCTTTTGCCAAAAATAAATGAAATCCAACGAGGTCATCATCCATAAATAAAGGGCATTTTAGTCAATTACATATGCTGTAGAAGAGTACAAATCTACAAGAAGAATGTAACGGCTGTAAAATCCAGTCAAAAAGTCAGGAGTTTGAAGGTCTCTACTCTTTCTTTACATTCCCAGTTCTGCAAGACTGCAACTGATTAGAAAAAGGGTAAAAGGGTAATTCTGATTTAGAAAAGGGTAAGAAGGTAATTTAATAATTCCTAGATTAGATATTTTCTTGATATATAAAAAAAGAATAAAATTTCTTTTAAAATATTTTTTATGGATTGACTTAAGTAGGGGTGGCTAAATTACGGTTCTCCGAACCGAAACTTAGGTTTCGAACAGAAATCGAAACAGGTGGCCTACGGTTCGATTCCGATTCCTCTATTTTTGGAACTGTGAACCGGCGATTTCAAGAACCAGCCGGTTTCAAAATGTTTTCTATTTTTTTATTTTACAATTATGTGATTCGCTGGAAAATCGGTTGAGAACCGATTGAAAAATTAGTTAGAACCGTTGGTTTTTGAACCGTTAAGGAACTGGAATCGAAACTGAAATAGTCAATTTCTGGTTCAATTCCGATTCCAAATTTTTTGAAACTAACGTTTCTGGAATCGTAGCCATGTCTAGACTTAAGGTATGACACTAAATATGCACCGGAACCATAAATAAAAATTTCTTATCCTAATTATAAATTTTGGCTGACCACTAACACTATGTTATGTTTAAGGATCGAAAAGAAAATAAATGAGCGAGAAAATTAAAGGATGAACTATTTATCTTTACTCTTTGTTTTTATCCTATGTCTGGATTGGAATGAAGTGAAAAGAAAAAAAAAGGATTTTCTTTTATTTGGAAAATGCCGAAATTATGGAAAAGAAAATTAATATTATTTAGAAATTACATTTTTATGTTATTATTTATCGATTTTAATTGTTATTTTATTTACCTTGCCATTTTTTATTTTCCTTTTCAAATGTGGGAAAATCCCTTTCCTTTCCGCGACTATATTTTACCCTATTTTCTTTCCTTTCATAAAATCACTTCTTCCAAATCAGAACGTAAACTAGAAAAAGAAAAGTAATAAAATTTCATAATTCTCCTGTTGTCATTACAACCCACCGTATGGTATGACTACCATCAAATGCAAATTTCCTATGACTAAATGGACACTAAAATATGTACTTAATTTCCTTTCTGCCACCAAAGAAAGAACAAAAAGCACCGACATTTACACTCAAATCTTGGTATTTAAATAACATTTTGCTCGTAATAATAATTTTAGATTTATCAATGATTTAATTATTTTTTTCACTTATATTAAAAGTAAAATGTATTTAGTCAAATTTTTGTGATGACATGAATTTTTATTAATTTAGTAAATAAATGAAAGACTATTCATTAGCTTGTAATAATACTTCGATATATTTAACCTTCCAATTAAAAATAAATAATTAGGTTTTAGATTCTCTGGCGTTAACATCCTACCGGATTATTGGTTTTTAGTTTTTTTTCTTTTTTTAATTTTTATTTTCCTTTCAGTGTTGGTCATCCCAGGAGTCTGAACAGTGACAGTGTGTGGACAAAGACTTCCAAAGAGTAATAATGAGGTTCCCTTGAGGGCCTGAAAAGCTGACGTGGCGATACGAATTGACTCACGTGGACCAATTCCTAACTGGTTACTTAGTAAACGTGTTAAAAAGATGCCGCTATTACTCTTGTGGTTTCGGAAAGATGCTGGGTAGGATAGCAAGTTCCGGTTAAAATTGGTCCACGTGTGGGTTATTCAGGTCCCCACCCGTGACCTGTGCGTGACCTCTTCTGTAATGGATTGGTTGCACAACAAAACATAAAGCTATTTCTCTATTATCAACTTGGATTTTTTTTTTTGTTAATTTTTTTTTAAAAATTTTTGCCCTTTTCTTCAGATCCTTAGCGAGTAACCCAAGCTTAAAAGCAATTGCAAGTTGCGAGTCATGCTGTTGTAATTATAAGTTAACTTCTAAAAGTTTAATCGTAAGTTATTTTTATAATATAATTAAATTATTTTTGTTTCAAATTTATTATTAAAGAAAATTAATATATATAAAGGATTTAATAGAAAAAAAAAAGCTCCATTAAGTTGTATCCTTATTGCTTATTAACTTTAATTATTTTATACACGTTTCCCACTCATCCAAATATAAAATATCATTACAAATTTCTCCTCACTTAGAACCCATTTTCTTACGAAGTATTTTAAAAATAATATTGGTTTTAACAATGTAAAAAAATGTTTAAATTGAAATAAGTAAAATATATTTTATAATGTCTAATCCACATAATTATTTTTTTGACATATAATTATATGCTTGAATTACGAGAGACGTTCATACTAATCCAATTACCGAATTATGACTTTATAGGTAAAGTAATAAAGTATTTTTCATTATTAAAATGTATAAATCTATTTATGTAGAGCATAATCTGTGCCTAAAGTAATAAAATTTATGTGAAAGGATGTGGGGGTGAAGAAGTAATTAAACACAACCACTAAAGATAGTAGTAATTAAAAAAAATTAGTCATAATTAGCTGAAAAAGAGACCCTAAAACACGGATATTTATTGGTAATTGCAATTACGTGATACTAATATATAAACATGCTTAAGGATCCAATGCTGCCTTTTTCTCACTTTTCTTCTTTATAAGATTAGCAAAATTTCAAGCCTTTACGATTATTATAATTATTATTATTATTATTTTAATGTTAAACCAAATTTTCATTGTTTTCTCATGAATAAAAACAAAATACAATCCTATTTCCCCTTCTCCTCTCCTTACCAAACTTCTATGGAAAATTCAATTAATATTTATTTTAGCATGTTGGAAAATAGTTAAATTGGGTGGATAATTCACAAAATTTATATACTGATTTTTTATTTTTGAGATCGTTAGTTTTAATTCAGTGATACAGATCTTCAAATTGAAAAAATAAATAAAGAAATCATTTGGGTTTCCAAAATTTGTACTTTTAATTTTCATTTTGGTAAATTTAAATTGTTTTTGGGAGTGCAAAGACCATCCCTGGGCTCTTTCCTCAACAAATGTATTCCTTGCCACCCATCAAGGCCCATTATCACAAAAGGGTTTGCCTAATATACATACGTATAGACAATAAATTTCCCTGCTTCAGAGATTTTCTGTAACGTGCTTCTATTATAGAAAAGTCTACGTTGATCAAAGTTTGTATAGATAGATTAAAAATTGTAGAAAATAATAGCAAAACAAACAATTTGGAAAATCATTAAAAAATCAATAACTATTTATCTAATAATTCAAGAGATATTATATCAATCTTATTAACTGCTCGAAAATTAAGAATGCAAAAAAAAAAAAAAAAAAAAAATTCAATCTTATTAACTGGCTCGAAATTAAGAATCGCAAAAAAAAAAAAAAAAAAAAAATTTAGAATTCCTCTCAAAAAAAAAAAAAAAAAAAAAAATTAGAATTCTCTCTGCCACAATTTTTTTTTTTTTTTTTCATTGCAGCGAAACTCAAAATGTTGTTTTACCGTTGAACCTCAAAATCTTAACTCTCTCTCTGTAAGAATTCTTTTTTATCTATTAGAATTGAGGCGAGAACAATCAAAGAGAAGATAAGCAGCCGTTGCCATTACCCTTGTAGCATGCACTGAATTAATAACATGTTCCCCTTAGAATGTCTTGCAGAGTATCCTAGAAAGATATTATGAATGATCCAAAATTGTTATTCTCACCATCATTGAGTGGTCACATTCTTTCACACATCTCCATAAAATTTGAGCACATGAATACATATGCACTTGCCTTGGTGCTTTCTTTGTCTTTCAATATTTCATGATAATAAGCTATATTATTTGCATAATTCACAAATGATTTGCTCAAGAGCTTGTTAAAAACAAAGATTTGAAAATAATTTAATCAATTCAATCTTTGTTTGTGATTTTTTATTCATAAAATTGATAATTTTAACAATTTCAAATTTTCAAAACAATTCCTTGTGATTAGCAATTTAATCTTTCAATATTCTACACACATTTAGTTCAAATGATAGCACTTCAATAATGATAATCAAAACTTAAAGTATTAATCCTGTGTTAGTGCTTCACAGATATGAAGTCTTAGCAAAGCAACTAAGTGAAGCTTGTGAGAAGCAAATGAATGTGTAGTTGAATTGGAGAACTATATCTAGGCAAGAGGGCTATGCTTGGTCTGGTAAAAGTTGGTGTATACTAGATTACTAGGTTAAGAAGGAAACTATACAGACAACTGCAGCAAGTGCTCACACCCGGAAGCGTGTTTCCGGGATAGAGATTTAACTTAAGCTACTTTCTCGCATGAATCACCGAGATGCAGAGGTGAGAGAACAAAGCATCCAATTGTGACAGTAGCAATATAAGAAAGACCGATAATGTTACTTGTTTATGACAAATCTATCATAGTTGGCTCGACAGAAGAAGATAAGAAAAGATGAATGTGTGAATTCTTCCCAGAAACAGAAATTTGCACCAATTTGGGGTTGTGGTGAGAGGCAGTTGGGTAATGTGTGAATATCCAAGTCGATGTCTATTAGACTGGATAAGTTCTCCACCAGTTTGAATGCATATTTTTCAAAGAGGGCAACGCCAAACAGTGTGTAAATATGCTTCAATCAAAATACTTCCAGTAAGTTGTTGGTTTTTGAACAAAACAATTATATAAACCTATGGGAAAGGCGCATATGGAAAATGATATAATATGCAGAATATATTTTACCAGTGAAAGAGTGGTTATAGCTAATTTCAGCAAGACAATGATCAGTGATTAGTGGTAGGACCCTAATGGAATTTTACTTTTGACATCTGAAAAAAGCAACGCAAATTAGGATAGAAAAGCAAATCCACTTGGTTTTACAGGGTGGACTTGTCATTAACATCTCTGATTCAACTTGAAAAGGGAGACAAAATGGGACGCAAGTTCATCCACACAAGACCATCATAATTGTCAAACTATTCTAAGTCGTTACTGAAATCTTTTACATTGAATGTAATATGATCCATAAAAAGAGATACATGAGCAAAAAACTTGGGTTTATCAGACCAACAGGCAACAGATACAACATCCCCACTTCCTAGCATATATTTTCCATGCCTTTTCCAGCTGACTCCACAGGTTTCATGTTCAGTTTTCTTACTTTTCTTTCTAACTCAGACATTTTATGTTTGATGTTCGATATTTATATAGTATTGGAAGATTGTAGTATTTTCTGCCAGGTTTGCTGCACCTTTTTTCATTCACAAAAAAAACTGATCTCCTTTTTTACACTTCTCAGGATTTTAAGTACATACAAGCTTGGAATCACAAAAAGAAATAAAAGCAATACTTGAGTATGCCTTTTCCTCTTCAAAACTTCTTTTCCTATATTTTTATATATGTTCCAGTATCTTTATAAGCAGCAGCTTTACTGTTCTGTAGCTAACATATTATGGAGTTTCAGAAAAATCTCTATGTTGTGGAAATGAAATTGCCAAAAGTATATGTAGAGATGTAGGAAAATCCAAACGGAAAACAGGATTTCTTCCTTGAATATCAATCAGATTCAGGGAAAAGAAATCATTTCTTGTTGAGAACAAAATTCTCTCTTTTCTATTATCCACTCTGCTATATGGCTCTAAAAAGTTCTATAGTTTTTCCCTTTTCATATCTCATTCATTCTTCTTGAAAAAAAAAAAAGTCTGAAATGACGATCAAGGATTATTGAAACATGCTCTCCACAAAGATCAGGAGGAAATTAGTTCTAATTGCTTCGATCAATGAGACAACAACTAGAAAGGGAGGAAATTGGTGTACTTAACTATGGGGTCAGCATGGACATAAAACTGCTATTTGGGGTGGATGAACTTAATTTGAGCATAAATTTTGGAGTAGAAATTCTAAAAAATGAGTAAAAATATATGCATCAAAATGTTAGCTGAATATTAAATAATTTTGAAGACGAGATTAATGATTTTTGGCTGCCAGCATTTTACAGGTTGTAAATTCAGTGATGGCAGAGGCTATGATTGAGGTCCTTATAGAGCAACTAATTCAAGCACTCAAGAAACAGAGCGAGTATGTTCTTGAATTTCGAAGTCAGTTCAGTGAAATGAAGGCACAGCTAGACCTTATGAAATCCTTTCTTATAGATGCTTACAAGCTCAAAAGAAAGGAGGAAACTGTGAAGACAACCTTAAGTATGCTCAGAGAACTGATTTATGATGCAGAGGACATATTGACAGACTGCCTCCTCAGAGCAGAATATAGGAAAGAAAGGTTTCACCTAAACAACTTCTCCCCGCATGAGTTGATCTTCCAGTATCGTACAGGGAAAAAACTGAAAAGCATTAATGAGAGAATTGAAAAGATGCAGAAGATCTTGCAATCGTATTTCAAGACAATTGGACCACAAAGCATCCATGACAAAAGTGGTAGCTTTGGGAAGAGGTGGACATCACCAGTCTATGATGAATCTACAGTAGTTGGTTTGACAGAAGATACAAGAAAGATAATAGGCTGGATTCTTCCAGAAAACAGGGTATTGCACCAAGTTGGGATCGTGGGGATGGGAGGTTTGGGAAAAACAACAATAACACAGAAGATCTTTAACAACAAACAAATTGTTGATCGTTTTGAGAAGAGGATTTGGGTCTCAATATCTCAAACTGTCAATGAAGAAGAGATTATGAAGACCATGTTGAAACAATTGGGAGAGGATATCAATGGACTGGACATGGCTCAAATGCTACCAAAAATTAAGCAAACGCTTGAAAATCGGAGTTACTTGATTGTAATGGATGATGTATGGAGTGCTGAAGGCTGGTGGGACAGAATATGTGCTGGGCTACCAAAGAGGGAGGGGAAAAGCAGTGGCATGATAATCACAACGAGGATAGAAAATGTCGCAACTGAAATGGGAGTTGAGAAAGCACGAATTCATCAGCCCAGAATTCTGAATGAAGAAGAAAGTTGGGCACTATTTTGCAAAATTGCATTTGCATCAGATATAGAAGCACAGCAGCATTTTCAGTTGGAAGAAGTGGGGAAAGACATAGTGAAAAAATGCGGAGGACTTCCTCTAGCAATCAAGACCATAGGAGGCTTACTGAGGTCAAAAACTCAATCTACAGAAGTCTGGAGAAGGATTTGTAACAATTTCCGTGATGCACTGGCTACAAGAGAAAGTGAAAGTTCAGTCATGGCTTCTTTACAACTTAGTTACGACGAGCTTCCTATTCGATTGAAGCAGTGCCTATTGTGCTTTTCCATGTATCCAGAGGACTCCGAAATATGGGCTGAGCAGTTAGCTTGTTGGTGGATTGGAGAAGGTTTCATTGAGGGGAATGGCACAAGAACCGCAATGGAACTAGCCTTTGACTATCTATCTGAGCTCATCAGCAGGTGCCTAGTTGAAGTTGTGCAGCAAAGAGGCTATGATGGAAGAATCTACAGTTGCAAGATGCATGATATGGTGAGGGATTTGACCATCAAAATTGCCAGAGAAGAGGCATTTTGCAACTTTGACGAACAAGGCAGGCAACGGCCCTCACCACAGTCCCGACGTTTGAGTTTTACATGTGAAGCAGACACAAAATCACTAAACAGAAAATCCAAGCTCCGGGCAGTGCTGACGATGACAAACTCCCCAATTATAATTTACAGGAATAATGGACTATTTGCAGTTAAGTCCCTCAGAGTGTTAGATTTCTCACAAAATAGAATGGAAAATATTAGCATGGATGACTTATTCATTTGGATCAGTTCCCTTGAACGCCTAGCATATCTGAATTTAAGGGGGGTTTCTACCCTAAAAGAATTGCCGTGTTCAGTTGGAAAGCTGCATAACCTCCAACTTTTGGTTTTATCAGGATGCAGTCATCTACAAAAACTGACCTCATCAATTACATCCTTGAAGAAGTTGACTATCTTGGACATCGGGTATTGTCCTATTCAATATGTTCCCCAGGGAATGGGAAGGCTCTCAAATCTCCAAGAGCTGTCCGGATTCAAACTAGTGGGTGCTGCTAACAAGGATGCTTGTAAATTAAGGGAGCTCCAAAATTTGTGGCGACTCAAGGTACTAAGAATAAACATGTGCGAAGAAAGTGAAATAGAAGAAGAAGAACTAACAGTCCTATCACATCTTAAACAGCTTAAGGTTTTATCAATTAATGCTGAAGGATGTGACAAAGAAGAGATTTTTCAGAAGCTGGATAGACTTTCTCCTCCTCCACATCTTCAAGAGCTGTATCTGAGGTATTACCGTGGCATATTTCCACCACAATGGATTAATCCCACATCTCTATGCCATTTGCAATATCTTTGCATTGAAAATGGAGACCTGAAGTCCATGAACTCCAGCTTTGAGGATATAAATGGCACCACTTGGAAGGTTGAAGGCCTATGTCTGAAGTTCCTAGCAAGGTTGCATATGGAATGGGAGATGGTGCAGCGGATGATGCCGCAAATAAGGTATGTGGAGGTTAGCCACTGTTACATGTTGAAGTCATTCCCTTGTAACATTGAAAAACTAGGGGTATGGAGAAAATGAGGGAAAAGAAATCATAGGGCCAGGGAAGAAAGACAGACTTGACATTAAAATATCTACAGAAACTAGTGTCTTAATGTCATCTATACAGGATTTCCATTTCTCTGGAAATAATACATAGAGATAGTTGCATGTACAACATCCCTGAACTGTTGAATGAGTCAGTTTTTAAAGAGGGAAATTTGTTTCTTTGTGGTTTCAGAGTTATACTGTACTGAGTCACTTGAATCAGCTTTGAAATAATATTTTAAGAAGGCACACATCCAGATTCAAAACCATTCAGTTAAGAGAAATCTTTTAATTTTCAGTCTAATGTATAAGTGTATCATTTTCGGTTAGTTGAAGCAGCTGTGAATAATATGCTAAGGCCCCAGATGTAATCAAAATTACTGAATAGAGTTTGTTTTGTCTCAAGCCAAAAGCAAGAAAGAGCCAGATCAGTCATTTCTAAGTAAATTTGATGTTTTAAACTTTTGGTCCAGTAGAAACCACCCTAAAACATCTAATTTAATCTAAATAACAAAAAGAGGATGCTAAAAAATAAGAGCCTAGGGCAGAGTATAGCGTTCCAACAGAAGGAAAAGTGTTCAGCATATAAATTTCTAGTCAATAAATTAAAGTTGACTTGGCTTATGAAGTCCTAAAATGTGATATTTAGCTGATGCAAACAAATGAAGAAAGCAGAAAAAATGTGCAAACAAATGAAGCATTGGTAGAAATAATCCATCCAATTAGCATAGGCTCAGCCATACAACTACTGAAATCTAACTTTAGTTAATATATATTTATCATCCCTCAATTAACAAGCATACATCACAATCTCTCATATTCAAATGAAAAATACACCAGACATTACAAAAAAGCAGCAAGCACTCCATAAACAAGTGGCTTGATCACACACCTTATATCCAGAGAAATTCACTGGGTACATCTGTCTTTAGAGTCAAAACATTCTCGAACTGTCAAAAAGAGAGAATCTATATAAGAAAATAAAAATTATAAATAACAAGAAAAGATAGTTGGCTCCTAGGATACCTCATTCAGATGCCGATTTGTATTGAGTTTCTTGTTCCCTTTGTCTTCTTTGTTCACGAGGAGGGCCATCTTTTCGTCTTTCATATCTTTTGCTTACATATTTAGAATCTCTCTGTTGCTTTGGTTGATAAGTAGGATACTTGCAAGGAATTATCTTCCCATTAATATATTTATCACCTATAAAACCCATGCAATTCAAGAGAACCACATTACATTAACAATGAACAAAACAAACATGCCAAAATGAAAATTTTTTTTTCCAAGTTACTAATAACTGAAAAAGACCAACCTCCATAGTCCTTATTTTTCACATCTATGTAAGAATCTGGCAACACCCAGAGAACCCCAGGCAATCCTATAAAAAAGAATACAAATTGGCATCTATAAGTGAATACCGGACAATGTTAACTTTCATACAAGAAAAAAACAAGCATCTTATAGGCATTTACACATTGCACGCTTACCCTTGAATTTCTCAGAGGTTTCTTCAGATACAGTGCACTGAAATCCAGTGTAAGTAGTAGTGCTAAATGCATACATGTTCTTCATAGCTGCTTCCCTACTGTAAAACAGAGAAAACCCACGTGACCATTTATAAAGTATAAAACATAGCCACCAAAACAATTAAACACAGTATAAAACATATAATTATTTGTTGACTAAGAAAGAGGGAAAAGCCATCTCCTTTACCTGCCCAGTACAGTGGCGAGAGTATCTATATAGGTTTCAATCATCTCCTCTCTAGTAGGTGCAGGGTCTTTCGGGAACTCCATTACAATTAGCCAATGATTATAGTCACAGCCCGGTAACATTATCGTTTCTCTCTGCTCATTGCTACTGCTCCTTGCTGAAGAGTAATCACTATCATAAGCTGCGGCTCGAGTGATTGAGAGAGAGCGAATTGGTAGGCAAGTGAGTGAGTTGACTCGGACGAAAGGGGAGAGTTGTGAAATAGAGGATTTTGGAGAGAAAAATAGAGCTTTCGGTGTAAGGGAAACAGAGGTATAACAAGTCGCCATTTTTGAAACAGTTGCAGAGTGGAGAGAGATAATGATAAGGGCTATTGGCAGACGTCGAAGGATTGGATTTCACATCGCCATATTTGGAGATTTTTTAGGCTGATAATGGGCCTACGCACGGGCTTGGGCCTAACAGATAGAAGCTACATCTCTGTATGTCCATATATATTATACCTATCTATATAATCTTTAAAAGAAAAATCTTTAAAAAAAATGAATTAGCACTCCCTTACTGTTTTTGAATGAAAATAATCTTTAAAAATTTATATATCATTTCTTAATTATTAATTTAGATTTAGCGGTTAGAATTTGGATCAAATAGATGATCCCTTACTGTTTAACTGTTTAACCGCATTTACATCATTAGCTTTGGTTAGAAAGGAATAATAATGTGATGCCTTAACAGTTCTTCCTCCTAATATGAAATTAAAATGCTCATTAATGGCTGTTGCAACAGGATTGTTCAGGAGAATGGTATTATCTGCTGAGGAAGAATTCCAAGAATACGACTACGATAAGCATGGATATGGATCAAATAATATTCATAATGGGCCTTGGATTGGGCTTGAGTGTAGACAACAACGAGCAAGGAGAAGATGAATATGGGCTTTTGGATAATGGCATGTCCATGTGAACCGTGTCCAAACACACCATGATCAACATAAATCTTAGGCATATTCATTTTTGCTTATTCAATTCCATAAATATTTTTTTAATTATTACCCTATTGTTTTAACTCTTTGGTTGAGCAAGTTAATCTATAATTACAAAAATAAAAATAAAATATTAAGAAAATAATAGATCTTACTAAAACCGCTAGGCCAAGCTTCATTGACCAATATCTCATGTCATATTTGTGGCTAAAAAATATAAATATGTTGCTATTCTAAAATACCAGGAAGTGTCATTGAAAAAGAAAGGGAATTTCTTGCTTCCTGAAAATGTTAATTATAGGTGATGGGAACAGTGACTTCAAGTCAAGTTATTGTAGCCAAGTGGTCATTAGATAGTGGAGATGGATAATATTTTTAAAACCAACAATGAAAATTATTATATGGTTGGGAGTGGTTTTGGTAGCTACTTTCTTTTATCATCAATGGTGTCTTTGTCTTTCTTTCTATGACTTTGTTACTATATTCTTCTTTAATTGTTTTTTCCCTAACATGTTTTCAAGCTTTTGAAGACGTAATTGTTTGCGTAAGAAAATGCTAAATTAGGTTTTTATAAAATACCCTATGTTCAGACTAGTATTAGGAATTTTTTTAAAAAATTTCATTAAAGATTAAATGGATAGGGAGAATCTTGTAAGTTGTAATGCAGGGATAGCCCTCCTCATTTTCATAAAACTCAGTTAAATTTATCGTCCAAATATTAGAATTTATTGCTGCCCATATCTTGAAATTTTATTTTTAAATCTAGTTTTGAGTTATTGTTACCATTATGATGGTTTTGTTTAGAGTCTTTCGTTATTTAAATAGTTATGCATGAAGAAATGCAGATCTCCTTTCTAATAAAAGAAAGAAATTTGAAGATAATCATATCGGACTTGTAAAAAGACTATAGAGTCGCACAATGGCCAAAAATAGCCACCAAGTGAAGCAGACGATCGTCTATATATTATATTCCGTCAACTCGATCAGATACTTCCAGTCAATATTATGTTTTTTATTTTTTTTATATGTGATTTATTATTAAACTTCTTATACAAAAATATATAAATATATTGATTTATATAACTACATACAGTTTTCTCATAATAAAATTTATAGTTTGATTTCTTCTTAAAAAAAAAAACTCATCAAATCAGTGAAAACTTTCGCTACTACACAAAGTAAAATTTGAGATCTATCTCTCTATAACCTTAAAAAAAAAAAGGAAAAAAAAAAAAACCAACGGACTGCGCTTGGTTGACAGAATTAAGATTTTATTATAATAATATTCTCCAAATATTTATTTTCCAATATCATCATAGATTCCCTCTTGAATAAGACATTACTCCTAAAACCATTGAAAAACATGTACAAATTGCTTGAGTGTAAGTTTAATACACCAAGTTGAGAGCTAAGGCTGTTTTATTTTAAAAAATCCTTCAGGCATGTTTCTTGCACTCATTAAAGAATTTTTTGAGTAAACAAATTATTGATGTAAGGTGCAATGTTGACCTTTTCTTTTTCTTAATTACCCAATTAGTCAATGACAAAATATAGAACATTTGATTATAATTAATTAATTCGCAATTAATATCCAGGGTTTTCAGAAACAATGGTTCAGGTGGCTTTTGTTTATTTGTTTATCCATCATGTCTCTTTGAATATGCCAAAAATATATATTTTTCCATTATTAGCTTCCATCCTCCTTTGAATTTTATATGAATATAATTAATATTATACTAAATTAATAGCCTTTTAATTAATTATCCTTACATTATTAATCTCAACACTTGCCAGATGTTAGGGAGACATTAGACATAAATTTCTCAATACCCTCAGCATGATAATAACAACAATTCTTATTACATATAATAGTACAAATGTAAACAAAGTCATGTAGTGAGAAACTTAAGCAAAACTTGAAAAAAAATATATTCATTAAACACGAGAAAATTTTATAATATTAATAAAAAAAATCAGAACAAATTCAAAGTTCTGCTACAAGTTATTACAATGTCGTGATAATACAAATTGTCATTTGTCCTAATCTTAATGGTTTGTCTGTCTTCAATCTTCTAAATTAGTTGGTTTTGACCAGTAGGTGGTTAGATTGATGGAAATAAATCGAATATTATCTGTCTAAGGTCAGGATTTCAAAATATGGTATCATCACTGTTGGGAGAATTTCACCTAAATATTATTTTTATCTAAGCGTGAGAACACGTGTGTAAATAAAAAAAAATATTTTGTCATATACATAAATGGACTCTGTCCGAATGTCTGCTAATATCATTGATTAAAAGACAATTATATGCTACTAATTAACAAATTTTTTCTAGCTACAAAATGAGAGACATTTAGTACAAAACCAATTATTCTCACAAAATCAACCTAATTTTTTTATGTCCCAAAGTTACCTAACTGTGGATGACGTTATTTTGGGCCAAATGAACCTATTGGGCCTGTAGCAAGGGCCCGACAAGAAAACAATAGGAGATCTACTCACGTGTGGGTGGGATTTATTAGGGCCATTCGGAGTCAACATTCTCTGGGGCCACACGTGTTAGTGTCCAATGATGTTATGTGTCGAGTATAGCTGATCTCCACCATTTCTAGTGGTTGAGCCGTCGCCTTCCGGCCACCGATCGTGAAAGTTCACGTGGATTTGGCCCAACGGCCGCTATTTTTGCGGGTTGAGTGGCTTTATTTGTAGCCAGGTTTAGCTAATCATTGAGATTTTACCTCCTTTTTTAAAATGCTACTATTCCAAAATCCTTCAACTTTTTCCACGTGTATGTGCACACATAGACACTATCATAAAAAAATTTTCACTTTCAATTATTTTTTAAAAATAAAATACATTACTCATTTCAATATTATTAAAATTTTAATTATTGCTAATGGTATATGGCATAATTGGGATTGATAGTGTAATTTAGAAACAGAAAAAGAAAGATTACTTTTAAGGTATGAGTCAGCAAATAATTAAAGAAAATGTTATTATAGATTATTATGATTAATTTAGAATTCCTATCAACCATCCTTTTATTATGATAGGTGTTAAAAGTTTAATTAATTTTCCATCAATCATCTTTTTGCTAAGTTATTAACATCATTAAAAAAACCCTAATTGGATGCTATCAAAGTCATTGTTTGTTTAGTGGTCTCCAAAAGCATGGCTTTTACTTTCTCCATCACCCTCAAACCTTTAATCACACTTTTTTTCAATCATTCTTCATTTTTTTTTTCTACTTTCAAGATTATGCCTTAGATAGATAGATAGATCACTATTCCTACTATAAATTTAGATTAATCAAATGAAATTTAGATTAATTTATATATGCAAAATTAAATATTTTTTGATGTAAGTTTAGTGGCAGGCAAGATGTACCCTAACCACCATTATCCTTCTCCAAAATATTTATATATCTATCTAACCTATGGAAGCCCCCCCCCCCCCCCCCTAACCTATGGAAGCGCCCCCCCCCCCCCCCTCCCTAAAAACAAGCAGAGTTTCTTGAAGTTCATCATAATAGCATTATTTTATAATCATGCAAAAGATCTGACTTTGAATTGAATTAAAAATAAAATTAATAATCATTTACCCCCTCCCTAAAACAAGCAGAGTTTCTTGAAGTTCATCATTAGCATTATTTATAATCATGCAAAACTCATGACTTTGATTGAATTAAAATAAAATTAATAATCATTTACTTATTTAAAACGTATATTATTTGACTTAACTCGAATCAATCCAATCATCAATCCGGTTTGATATCGCGTCTAATTTTATTAAAAATTAAATTAATTTTCATACATAATTTATGATAAAAAATAAAATATCTTTCTTGTGATGAGCTACTGAAATTAGACCCCCTGACCGCGACTTGGGTTTCTTGCCACGTGTCGATAAGGTGATAGGAGCTAGAGCAACAAACTTCCAATGTGACAAACATCACCTGGACCCATTAGTTTGAAAATGGGGCCGACCATAACAAACTTGGAATGGCATCCCCACGTGGATTTCTGTTCTCTTATTGGCCCAAACAAGTGGGGTCCACATTGACAATAAAATTTTTCACTTACTCCTTTTGGTCAACGCAAACGTGGCGAGTATGTGGTGATGGTCCCCCCCGTCCCCGTCCCGCTCCCCTCTCCTCCCCTCCCGCCTCTCTGGTGTCGGAAAATATTTAGCCGGATTATTCGCCGAGTGGAAACTGTCCTCTGCATGGGACTATGAACTGCGGGTCCCATTTAACCCTAAAGCAACTGCCATTTTTTTTTTTTCTCTCTTTTCAGTTTTCCTATCCCACGACTCTTCCTCTCCTCGCCGATTTATTCAACTTTAATTATATTTCGCTACGTTTTTTCTTTTTTATGCAAATATACGTATACGTGTATATGTATATATATTTTTGTAATTGAGATTATTGTTGTGCAAAATTAGTTAATTCTAATTGTAAAATAATATTTTTAATTTTATATGAAAGCTATCCTGTTAGAATAATTAATGATGTAGTCATATGATCTATACCTATGGATTTTATATGAGAAAATAAGATAAACTGAGAAGTAAAACCATTTATCAATTCATTATTTTTTTTTGAAATTATTTATTGATTCATCAATTAAGATCTAGGAAATGATGTTTTAAAGCGATTACCCTAATCCTTAAATTAAAATATTGACCTAATTGTTAATTTCTTTTTTTTTTTTTTTAAAAAAGAATGAAAATATCTTCCAATAATGAAGATTTTCATGGCCTAAAAATATTTGATTTTTCAGCAAATTGAAAGACAGAAAAAATCTTAATATAAAATATCCACAAAGCTTTCTTTCTTTCTTTCTTTGAATATTTAGAAAGAACATTTGAAGTTGAGTTTATATTTAAATTTATATATGAACATATAGACCATGCATTTGAATATTGTAATCAAATATATTTATAATAGTAAAAATTTGCAATTTTAAATTGGTAAAAATCATAATCGCATAATGTTAGAACTCATTTGTATACATTATATACAATTTTTTTTTTTGAAAAAAATAATCTAAATACAAAAAACTAACATTAACCATGTGATTCTTATTTTTTAAAAAGAATTTAAACAGTTAATTTCGTTTGTTAAAAGATCATATGGTAATATGTTTCACATCTACTTTATAGAAATTGGGATAATATCACTCTTGTAATTATTATAAATGTCGGAGATCTTAATATTATTAATATATAAAAAAATCATTATCAAAGATATATTTTGTATACATACACAAATACTCTTTAAAATGCTAGGCATGTTGGAGTTTAGTGTAGTCTTACCCCAGAAAGTACCGCTTGATGCATTTTGAAGTCACGTCAAGGAAAAATTAAAAGCTCTCAATGAAAATCCATTCCAAGCAAAATGTACCTCACGTCACATGGCTTTCAATTATTCTCCTACCAAGAATCAGTTCCTTACGATCTAAAAAGGTTTTTGTCAAATGATAATTTTTTAAAAAATATTTCATAATTAAACGAGACTTAATTTCAATTAACAATTAAATTTGCCAAACTATGTCATCTTTATCTGAAATAAATAAATAAATAAATAAATGTAATGTTGCAAGTATGATTTGTCATCTTGTCAATGATAAAAGAATTATATATAAGCATTTTCCACTAAAAACAAAAGGTATTATTATCTTTTTTATGAGTCCATTAGAAGTAATTTGGATATCTTTTGATTTATTATTGGATGGTGAGAATATCTTGAAAGCAATTAATTATATTTTAGAAGGAATTAGGCTATAATTTTCCTAAAAGGGTAAGAATTGCTTGAACTTTTTAATCACGCAAATAAGATACTAAATGCAATTAAAAAACAAAATGATCACCTCAATCATTTATGGCTTCAATTAAAGTACCAATTCCACTATAAGAGTGTACCTAATAATAATCAAATTTTGAAGTTGCTTTCATTTGTCAATTTGTAATAAAAACAATATTACAAAATGGATAGCATGTGAAGCATTATGTGTTTTTGGATATTACTTAGTGACATGAAAACTATGTTAATGAAGAATATAAACATCGTGTAAAGAGAAGAAGATAAAGATGATGAATGGATTCAATAATTGCATGCACTCTATTTAACTTTGCTAATTGGTCAATTTTGCAAGATAAATTTAAAGCTTATTAAAATCATTTCATTTTGTCCTAAATTCAATAGAATCAGAAATATTTATAGGTATCCATTATCCGCAGGTAGTTATTAGCCAATGATATTTATTCAGGTATCCATTTACTTGCGGATATTCAATTAATACTCATTTAAAAATTAAAAGTATATTTAATATAAAATAAATTAAAGCAATTTTTGGGTTTATATATTATCTATGCTTAAAAAGTTCAGATCACATTTGATTAAGTGATAGCTTATCCATACACAATAATAAAATTTTATAGTAAGCAAAAAATGTTAAAATAAAACATGAAAATATGTTTTAGAGTTAAATTGAAATTGCAATTATAGAGATTCAAAAATGAATGATGTGATTCAGGTCATAATATATTTATGAGATTTCCAAAACTATTAATTAAAAGTAGACATTCCAAAAAAAAAAAAAAAAAAAAAAGATTGATTCAGGTCACATAAATAAATTTATGAGATAATTCCAAAAACTATTTTTAAAAGTAGATTCCAAAAAAAAAAAAAAAAAAAAATCAAAAAAAGACACCTAATGAAAAACAGAATATATATAACCTATTAAAATTATTACCTTTGTTTTTCTATAATTCAAAAAAAAAAAAAAAAAAAAAAATCAAAAAAGACACCTAATGAAAACAGAATATATATAACCTATTAAAATTATTACCTTGTTTTTCTATAATTCTTACCTAAATAGGTTCTACGTTATCTATTTCTCACAAATTGGAATTTTCCAATATTAGAATCTCCATCTCCTATACTAAAAAACAAAAGTCACATCTGTTTTTTTTAAAAAAAATTATTAATTGTTTGGGATTGAAGTAAATGATCAAAATCTAAGAACTAAAATACCAAATAATTAATTATGTGATAATCATAAAGTAAAAATTAGATCTTTGAAATGTAAATGACATAATTAATTAATTAGCAAATTCCTAGAGGATTGTATTATGAGTGGACAAAGCATGAAAAATGGTGGTCATAGAAAAAAGAAAAAGAGAAAAATCAACAAGGAAATCATGAAGAAACCAGAACACAGTACTTAGCAGTGACCACTGACCACAGCACAGGAAAGAAAGAAAGAAAGAAAGAAAGAAAGAAACCTTATCTTGAAGGAGTGAGTGAGTGTTTGTTGCTCTGACTTTGTTTTTGTTTTATCTTTTTTATTTTTTTTTCTTTCATCTGACAACTGAAAAAACTTCTGTAGCTGTAGAAATTGTCTGAATCTTTTTTTCTGGGACTGTGTCTACTATTATTGTCCCCTTGAAAAACATACTTTATAAAAACAATAACTGATTTTGTTTGTTTTCTCAGACATTGTCATCAGATAAAGGATACACTCTCTGATTCTACCTTATCTGTCCTGCCCACTCCAAAACAAATTTCGAATTAAAACATTTCTTGTCTTTTCACCCCCTTTCTCTCCTTACATGATTTTCTGCCTATTTTCATGGCTAGGATAGGACAAGGATTGGGTCCAACTCAACTGACACACACTCATCAGTGTCATCATTTCCAACTCCAACACATTTGGTTTATGTATTTGTTGCATATTACATGAAAAATGTAATAGCATGAACAGGCAAGAGCTAAGCTAGGGTTGTATAATTTTATTTTTAACATTATTATTACATGCAAATGCAATTCTGTCACGTTCCCAAATCACAGAATTAGATTGAAATTTGGCATTTCAATTAAGTAATTGTAATGACATATAAAAGGGTTTAATTAATTAGTTACTTAATTAAGTTGGCTATTGGCATAATTAATTTCTTTTAGTTCATCAGATCCCATGAATATTCTATAAAGTAGTAGTATAATTTAGCAACTTGCATTTGGATAATTAAATTGCTAATTATTAATTAGTTGCTTCCAAGAAGGAGATGTGCCTCTTTTTGCAAACTCACTTGTAAAAAGTTTCAATCTTTACTATTGTTCTTAGACTAAGTCACTAATAGCATAAAGTTGGAGTGCTTTTATTTTAAAAATAATAGTAGAAAAAAGAAATGAGAGTCCAAAGTGGTTGGCTTTCTTGAATTGCCGTTTTGGTGCATAACCCAATGAGACTTGAGTGGGCAGGAATCCTGGCTGGAATTAAGAATCAATTTCCTATAAAATGTGATGATCATTGCAGCCATATATATATATATATATAACAAAAATAAAATTAGAAGAAGAAAAAGGAAGAAACTTTCCTTGGAACAGCAACTGTTTTGTACATTGCTAATTCAAGTATCTAAGCATATTAAACATAGGCTAAAAAATTCATGAAAGTAGTAAATTTAAATTAAAAAAAAAAGGAAAAAGAAAACATTAAATTAAACATGGGTTAACCTAAAAAAGAGTCTTTAACATTTCCCTGAAATGGTCACAGAAACATTGTTGTGAACCTCCATCAACTTGATAATCAGTCATTATATAATTTCATTGATTTTTTCAATTTTTGTTGCCCCATTGCTTATGGCCAGGAATCCATTTTGGACACTTGGGGCTCAGATAACTTGACACAACCCTTGAGTTCAAAAGCTCCACAATAGGTGCAAATTTCACACATCTTGGTGTCTTGTATTGATTTATAGATGCACCTAAGCTAATGGCATAGTCCATTAACTTGTCAAAAGTTCCTGGCTCAACAATCTTGATCTCAAGCGGCCCAATCGACTTATCAGACACACGCCCTTGGCGATAAACACTATTAAGTGACTCTTCAATGGTCAAGCAACAGTCTTCAAAAATTGATGGAGGAATTGGGGTTGACCCATTTAGGCTTAGTTCCCAAAATAGCACATAATGCCCTGGAATGCTGGTTGTATCTGCATAGCTAGTATATTCAGCTAAAGTTGCATCAAATGGTACTAAATGGTTTACAGCATTTTTTACTGCATTTTGTAGCTCAACCTCGTCAGTTTTATCTGAATCAATACTCAAAACCACATTTTTCCTGCATATAAAGTTGAATTGTGGTGCCTTGTTTTTGAACCCAGCCACCCTTAGCACATCACCTACTCTGTAGCGATAAAGTCCTACAAGAAAACAAATTAGTGTCGGATATAGGTAACAGTGTTTGACATTAAATAGTACTAATTGAAGAAAAAAAGATGACATTTTGGGTTAAATTAATTACCAGCATAAGTAGTGACAACAAGCTCATATTCTTGACCAAGCTTGACATCCACAAGATCAACCAATTCTTGCTGCTCCTTCTCATTGAGTGATTTGGGCATGGAAATAGAATTGGTGACTCCATTGTTTCTTTGGACAGGCAAGAACTCAAAATAGGCCATTGTAGGAATAAGGGTATAAGAAACTTCACTTGGTTTGCAAATAGGCTTGAGATTGACACCAAAGTAGCATTCAGAGGAAGCATACATAGTGCAAACCAAAGGCAAGCCATTGCTATAGTAATCAAGAGTAGGAATATATTGGGACATAGTACCAGTCACAATAACATCCACATACTTTGTATTAGGCCAAATCCTTGTTATAATCCCTTGCCAAGAATCTTTTCTGCACTCGGTTTCAAGAAAATCAGCTAGTTTTGGATCTGGTTTAAGGATTTTCATAACTGCTTCGCGAACTGAAAGATCAGTGATTTGGGGGTTAATTGTTCCTGTCCTAATATCATCACAAAGAAGTTGCCAATGTTTTTCAAGAAACCGAATTGCCCGAATGAAGCCAGAGGCAAAAACAGCTCCGACCCGGAGGACTTCATTTCTTTGGCAAAGGCCACAGAGCATTTGGGAATACATTGATTGGTAAGAATCTGGGCAAAGAATTGTTTCATTTGGGCTAGTGTAGTTAGTGTAAGGGTCATAAGGCCTATCTTTAAAATGGGAGCTTTTGTAATAGCTAGTGAGAACTGGTCTTGCAACAAGACCACCAGGGGTTTTGGCCTCAGATTTTATGAACAAAAAGTACATTCCTTTCCCTTTTTCAAGGCCAGGAACAAATTGGTTCATAACAGGCATCAATAGGCTATAAAGCAATGACCTTCTCCCTAATTCCTCTTCAATAGTTGGCATCAGCTTTCTTTCTCCTCCTGATGTCCCTGAACTGCAAATCCAACAACAAACCCATTAAGCCAAAATATCCAAAGAATAAAAAATAAAAATAAAAATAAAAAGACAAAAAAAAGAGCAATGAATAGAACACCCCACTTAAAAAAGTTCTAATACCCATCAGACCAAACTAGGTGGAAAACCACTTAAGACAATTAGTGGTTCAAAAATGAGAAAACTTGAGCACAAAGCCACATAAACAGAAAAACAAACACATAACAGACCTTGTCAAGAATTCTGAAATGGGCTTAGAACAAAGGATCGGAGAGGTATCACCATTGGCAATACGGTTAATATCAGTTTGGATATCCTCATAAGTGATTACAGGCAAGGTTTTCTTGAAAGTTTCACGGTCAGTATAGCCATTAAAGCCATGCCTTTGCAAATACTCAACATGAGCATTGCAAGTGAGGATTTCTTCCAAAACCTTCTTTTGAACCTCATCAGCGTTTGAAGTAACATCTTCAATATACTCAAGGAGTTTCTTGTTCTTCTCTACAAGATTATAATCCACAGGTTTGATCAATGTATTTTTTGGTGCCTCAGGCATGGCTGGTTTTGCACTGTTGTTCAGAACAAGTGAGAGAGAAACAGAGAGATGCTTTTGGTTAATTGTGTGGAGAAAAAGAATAGAAGTGGGTATATATAGAGTGGAGATATGAAGGTGGCTATTATACATGGTTTTTTAATTTTTTTGGGATTTGGAAGTAAAGTTCAAACAAAGTGTATAATATATAAGGGCATAACTGTAAAATCCTTTATACATATTTATTTTGTTTTCCAAATTTGTACTTTTCTTCGACTTTTTTTTCATGTATAATCAAATTACATGATAGTTGGGGTGGGAGACGTGCTTGTACTAGGTGTTCATCCATTTGCAGAATGCCCAACTAATAATTATTTGTCATTTTAATAATAATAATAATAAATATTTATATCCCAATTTGCTAAATATATTGTTAAATGTATTGAATATATACACTCGGTGTAGGCAGATATTTCCGTTTGAGGCAATTAGAATGCCTTACACTATCACAGCTATCATGTGTGTGCTAACCGTCCCTTTGACAATTTCTTTTGTTTTGCTCACAGTCATCTTTCCGTGCTTTGAATTTAGAGTTCTAATTTGCCATCTCAAGTCCAACCAGCTGGAAATGAAAGAAATTTTGAATTTCCATGTCACACAATTCATAAATTTTGCAATTCAGTGTTTTAGTATCCAATTCAATAATTCAATCAATTCATCTCTAATTCATAATATTCGCATCAAAATTTCAGTATATATTATTATCATTTTATTATTATTATTATTATTATTATTATTATTATTATGTTAATCTATATCGTTATTATATTATTATTATTATTATAATGTTAATCCGACTCGTTAATCTTGACTTTGCCATGTTTAAGTAACTAATAATCCAATTTAAAATTCAGTTTCTGCATTGGGGTGATGCTAGAGTGGGGAAGGTGTCCTTACCGTACAAGAAAAACCGGGAACCGCCTAAAATATACCCTATCAAAGGTGCTTAAAGGACACAGCATGGCTGTATTGAACCGGCATTATCCGGTTTTACATTATCCTTTTGACAGGCAGTTCCCGGTAAACCCGCAGTAATTTCACCTTATGCAAGTGCGCTTGTACTGCGGGTGTCCCACAAAATACCGGCAGGCTTTGTTCAAGGATTACTTACATTTCCCGGTAACAGAAAACGGCGTTCGTTCCCAATTTATCGCGATATTTTAAGTCAAAATCAAGAAATCAGAGATGGGAGATAATAGCGTGTGCATTTGTGTACGGTAAATAATTGGGGTTTCTTGTTGAAGTATCCAAGGGGACCTGCCAGCTGGCTGCCTAACTTAGTAGTCTGACACGTGTACAAATAGGAGTTTAGTGCCTTCACGTATTTCAGTTGGTCTTTGTACGATCTGACACGGTGTTACCATTTCCTCGGCAATAAGTCAATAACTCGGATAACATTTTCTGTATTCTACAAATAATGCCATACAATACCAAATTAAATAAAATATTTCATAAGAAGTAGTAATCTTTTTTTTTTTTTAATTTTCTTTTGAATCCACTACTTAACCTCTTATTTGAATAGCAGAGAAAGAAAAATAATAGAGAAAAATAGTAAGAGATTGTCAATTTTTTTCTATAATTATTTTCATTCTTGAGTTTGGATATACAGAAAGAAGAAAATAAATTTATTTTGTTTTATTTGAAAATGATAAAATTTTTAGAGAAAAAAAATATTATTATAAAAAATAATTGTTATGTCCTTACTCACGTATTTAAGAAAAAACTAAATTTCATGAATTAATTTGAATTACTTCAAATTCTAATAAAACAATACTTTTCTCTAGATATTTTTCGTAATTATTTTCTTTTTTTTAAAAAAAACATACTCTTATCCAAAAAAAAAAAAAAAAAAACAGAAGAGTAATTTTTTTTTTTTTTTTATTTTCTTTTGATCCACTAACTTAACCTCGTTTTGATACGAGAGAAAGAAAAATAATAGAGAAAATGTAAGAGTTGTCAATCTTTTTTCTATAATTATTTTCATTCCTTGAGTTTGGGTATACAGAAAGAAGAAAAATTTTTATTTGTTTTATTTGAAAAAATGATAAATTTTTAGAGAAAAAAATATTATTATAAAACAAATAATTGTTAGTCCTTACTCACCGTTTAGAAAAAAACTAAATTTCAAATGAAATTAATTTGATTAAACTTATCAAAATTCTAATAAAACAATACTTTTCTCTAGATATTTTTTCGTAATTATTTTCTTTTTTAAAAACATACTCTTATCCAAAAAAAAAAAAAAAAAACGTTAATACTACCTTAAAGAAAGGGTTATGGTCAGAACTATTTACAAGCTAAAAATTAATTAACGATTTAGAAAAAGACCTATAATCCAGTATTATTATTTTTTTGTTCCACATATATCCTGCATGTAAGACGTTTTCCAAATGATGTATGCCGAGGAATTGAACTAGTTAGTCAGTTAATAATCGTATTGGAGGAATATTGATCGATTAGTAGCACGTCGGAATGAGCCTATTGGAGCTTGGCATTTGTGAGTAGGAGTAGTGCTGATAGTTAGGTACGATTATAGTATGACGGCTTCTGTCATTACAGCGCAGGAATTAATGGGACGAATGGGCTAAGTGTGCAGAGAGTCGTAGTTATAGCGTTAGCATACAACGTTCAGTTCATACCAGAGCCATAGCGTGAGCTTGGTATCCTAGTGCATAGACTATCATAGCATTAGTGTGTACACAGTATCAGCGCGAGATGGAGGCGCCAGGATCGGTTGATGATACGCAAGAGGTATACCGAAGTCTGGGACAGAGGTGAGAGATTGGCTGAAGTAAGCACAAAGTTGACGAGAATGAAAGTAATGAAGAAGAGTAGTCTGATGATAAATCCTTGCGAGACACCTGGGCTAATTACGCGCGCTCAAGACGATGGAGAATGAGATTCAATAAGGCGTACGTTTTAGTGGAAGTGATCCAACTGATGCTGTATCACGATAAATAAAGTCATGATGTATGTATACTATATATGTCGTATATATCACATAGAAGTAATGATCAACAATAGGGTTTAGTTAGGATAAAGAGAGAGAAAACTGTTATAGCGGCTTGATCTGATTATCAGAAGTTATGAGTTGAGGAATACGTGCATACCCGAATAGTATTTTTCAACCGCAGTAGACGCTGACTCAGACGAACAGACTTGAACGAGCAAATGCGAAGGTTAGTAAGAATAAAGTTTGGCTAAGTTCAATATGTAATTGCTATGCAATTTCTTGAAGATTCCTAACATTAATTATCGTACCATAAATAATCTAAAAGAATATAGTCGTGTCTGTCTAAAGACATCAAAGTAATAAAAGAGATTAATTTAGAGTATGTACGAGATTTTCAGGCGGAGCGTACGCAATAGTAGGGATAACATAGTGATTGACGGGCTATTGAGAGTTAGAAGATAGTTATAAGTTATATGTATCGTGCAAGGGTAGCTGACGCTGAGAAATATAAAATAGTACCATATTAAGACCGTACAGTAAGAATGGAGCTGAAGATCAACAGGAGTACACCGAAGGTGGCATATGCGTGGACTAACCTATGCTTTCACACATGGTCAATGCATAACAGACATATGGAAAAATTTAGCACCGATTACAAGCGTAGGACTGATCTTAGAATCAGCTGTGTTTTCGTATCGCTGATATAGGTTATTATGTTTACGCTATCTGTATTAGTGTGATGCGCTAGAGGATATCGATGCTTAGATGCTATGCTTTGATATTAGCTTAGATAGTGATATAGTTAGCAAACAGAAGAAGGTTAAACTGCAGGATGCTTTGATGATAGTGTGATTCGACATGATGCATTGAGATAGGGCTAGCGCAGGAAAAGTGAGACGAGAATACTGTGTGAAAGGAGGAGGTAGCAAGCCGTAGAGGGATTGGTAATAAAGTTACTTTACAATTTAATAATTTGGTAAGAAGTTTATTGAAAAAGTGACATGTGAAGCAATCAAACGAGGTGGATGGTATCTGGATATACTATCTAACATGGGACATTACTGGGAGAAGAATTGTGTGTTTATCATTTTATGATTTAAGATGAGTCTGCGAGAGCACTGCGAGTATGCGCGCATTCATTTAATAGGGATGCAAGAGCGTCGAATTAACATACTAATTGTCGATGGTCTCTATTCTGGCGTTTCAAGCAGGTGCATGGACCACGGTAGACTAAATTTCTCTATGATATCAAGAGGTATAGAGTAGGAGACATTGAGAGTAGTATGTAAAATAAGTGGATGATAGCGGGCAGTTGTAGACGTGATAGAAGGCAAATAGGTATCCGAGCAATCTGACAGGGATCGTGTGAGGTTGTTTATACCAGGTTGAGAATGTTTAGAGGTGTGATCGTACGTAACTCACTATATATGGCGGAAGTCACACTCGACTGAAGATGTGACGGGTCGTCCACACTAAGAGATTCGTGCTACGACTTGGTCGTTAGGATAATAAGATCTTATGAGAGCGGAATGATCTGTCCTCATAGAAGATAATGTGTGTTATGTATATACTATAGAGACTGATATATCAGGGGCGTTTAGGAAATTTGGATCGATACACTCACGTTTATTTGACTTGATCGGAACTTGATACCTAGTAGAAATGACAGAAGAGTAACGTATTTAGACATGTCTGATCCTGGTGGATTCACATGCTGCGCGTGTCAGAGATCTGTTATACGAAACGTATTAGAGTCGACTTGACGGTAATTGGGCACTAAGCATCGTAGTGTAGGATTGGTTGGAATATTGGAGTGTTAATAAGTACATCATCGCTTACGTAGTAGATTCCTCTCGAATATATATTCTAAACGAGTCCCAAAGATCAGATATCAGAATGGATAAAGAAATATTATTTTATTATGTTAAACCTCAATATTTCAACTTAACCTCTTAAAAAAAAAAAAAAAAAAACGTTAATCTTAACCTTAGAAGAAGGGTTATGGTCAGAACTATTTACAAGCTAAAAATTAATTACGATTTAGAAAGACTATAATCATATTATTATTTTTTGCTTCCACATATATACCATGCATGTAAGCGTTTTTCCAAAAATGATGTATCATATTTAAAATTAGAA